ATATTCGCGTTCAGGGATATAAAATATCAAATAAAAACTTACATAAAATGGTAAGTAATTCCGATTGGAATCGGTGAAGAGCAGGCGGTGTGGTTCTGTACCTATTCTGCGGTTTGCTGGCTAGCCAACCAGCCAGCCAATTGCTAAACCGTTTTACTAAGGAATACCCGCTCATACTGCTTTTCACGTGCTCAAATGACATTATAGAGACGAGTGTAAAATAAATTGTGGAATAGTGAGTTAACGACTGCATACTTGCAGTCATTCATCGAGTGAAAACATGGCATGGTATTATGTGGGGATAGATACATGCAGGTACGTATATGTACCTAAGGTGGATTAGGTAATATGTACTTGCGCAAAATTCATAAAATACACTTGTATGCGATTTAATATTTCACTGCGGTGATGATGTAAATCTGGCCAATTGTTTGTAAATAAAGATTACAGGCCTGTGGAAGCTGTAGCATAAATCCCGAGCTGTCACCGCGCACGTTACGCAACACAACAACCGACGGAAAGAGCATAACGCATTTATCTGTGAAGCATCTGGCATGTAATGTACCGCTTCCCGTGCGCATTAACTTTACTTATATTCCCTCTTATTTATGAGAAATAAATAATACTATTAGACAGAGATACCGATTCCTGATAAAAAGTGGGCTCGAGTTAAATGGGAGGCTCGGTGGAGGCAGAAAGAAAGTAATGGAGGCGCATCGAACCGGTTTGGAGATTTTTACGAATGCAAGGCTGCTCAGCTCGGCTCCGACTATGTGCTGCCCGCGGCGAGCACATAATATGACCGACGCCGGATTCGCGCCGGCCTTTCTTCCACGCACACACTCACGTCTGATCGTCCGTACATTCCTTCAACCGATTATTATCTGCATATAACTGGATTCCGCCTAAAGATACCTACGCCCATTAAAATATTTGCTGTGCAATCAGCTCGGGCTCTTGAGTCATTATTTACAAATACTCGCTCAAACAATAGTATCCTTGAACACTTCAACACTATTTCAGGATTTAGGTTGACTTACTCTGAGTTATGTGTGATGACGTTAAACCGCATAGCTTGTGTTTGGGCATTGATTGTAAACACCTTGTCCAAACGCTAAATCAAGTCGACGACGTCCTAATTACAGCCGATTGACATTGCATCAAACTGTTCAGCTCAGAATAGCACAGCCGATAAGCAAGACTTAGTGAAGCCGTAGGATTAATTCCCCACTTTTGTTTAACCATAAACAATGACTGTTCTGATTAGGAAGAACATTTCTGCAGTAAACATTGCACATTCCTCTTTGGAACTAGACAAATTAATTCTCCACTCAACTAAATTCCTATTTACATACTTATTTTATAAAAAAAAATAGTTTTTTTAATTAACCAGGGCAATAGTGAACTGATTTACGCAATCATAGAATCATTGAAATTATTTGAGTTTCCTAACAAAATGTTTAAGGCTGCTAATTGCTAATGAAGAATGGTGTGTTTACTTCTGATTACACAATAAAGTCATTTCTCAAGTTTGTGGTATAACTACGTACATCAAGAGTAACAAGCACTCCACTTTCAGAGATACTCGTAAATAACGAGGGACAAGTTGAGCTAGTAGCAACACAATTTGTGCAAACATATAAAATGCAAATGTAATATTTTACCGCAACCGACTATATTTCTGCGTTTACTTGATCTTACTGAGTTACTCGTACGCTATCTGCCATCGCTGCGTTAGTTAAGAACAACTTTAGTAATGAAGTATGAAGTATGAAAGCATCAATTACGGAGTGATCTTTTAGTTATAGTATAGAATGTCATATGACCCACATCCAATCTAGTAAGTACATGTAACAGTACACCGTATAGGTTTGATGGTGAATTTGTTTGTCAACATGCGCACATGTTTGACAAGCCATTAGAGCGAGGCCAAACACATACATGTCCATCGAACTCACTGAAGGCTGAAATATTAGTTTTCCAGCTACTGACCGATTTTCCTACTAAATACAGAATAAACTTACGATCATACTAATAAAGGTACGCAAATAAAAGATGTAAATATAATTCTTTTTAAGAAACGGACTCACTGGTATGATTTTGCAACTGATTTGTAAATAGTTATATTGTAACTTATTGTACCTATAAATACTAAAATTGTATTAATAACAGATTATAAATAGTGTAAAGAAGCAACCGCTTGTTTTATCTCAAAATAGATTCAAACAACCTAAGTAAGTACTTACTAACTTCTTACTTTACACGTTAGTTAACGGACATTAACTTTGTAAATTTCAGCTTAATCAAAAGTTGGTATTTTCTATTAACAGGAAACCATTTCCACATTTTCCGCTCCGTAGGTAAATCCGAATGAATCATAAAGCTAACATTTACATACATATACAATGAAAGATTTATTTTATTACTAATTTAGTACATTTTGCATACAAGGAAAACAGATCTACATTATTTTCAGAGCGATGTTTCATTCTATTAGTCTTTGAATATCTTCACTACTTTTGCTATCCTACGCGGCTTCGTTCAATTCAAACTAAACCTGTTTCTACTAAGCTGAGCCTTAATGAGGTTCCTAGCGTTAAGATTCTAGATACGGAATATCTATTTCATTCAATTTTTTCGACAGTAATATTATTCCATTTGAACGCTTATCGTGGGAAAATCAAACGCATCTATGTGAGCCAACTTGAACAGTTTACTGTAAAGGCAACAGCGACACACGGGACCATCCGATTTAGTGTTCCATGAGATTGCTTCGAGACCTGCGCATTAGTACCTACTTATACATATCTATCTAGCGTTTTAGGCCCACGCAAACGCATCTATAGCTATTAGGACGGTAAGTACAAGCAGTATAGAAATTTCCATCAGGAATCCACGCGGTTTCTTTGATGATCCTATGTACTTATTTGCTAACCGCGATTGTCAATTACTCATAGATGTAAACTTATATAACGAGTCCGTAAATATTACTTGCCTTACCTACGTGTATATTTTTAGATTTTAATAATGAATAACTTGAAATGGCTTATTAGAGAGTACTCTGTCTATCCAAATTTTACAAGTTATATTCCGTTACTTTACACACACCTTCGTCTTTAAGAACAACCTGTAGTTACAATTAAAATAATAATAAACGGGTTAAGGAAATTTATAAAATATGTATCAAATATTGCTAATTAGTCACTTATTACACCAAAAAGATTTTAAGTAAAAATGTAGTTGGAAGCTTGCCATTGCAAAGTGCAATTTGTCAACTTGTATGTTAAGAATACCAAGCGTAGTGTCAAGATTAAGCAGACATCTATGCGTTTCCACTTTTATCGCTAGTTAATGCTAGTACGGACTTAAATGAAAAAACTATTGAAACTTCACAAACATACATTCCGACATGCCTGTGCTTTTTACACATAATAATGTCGATATCTTATTACATCTGGATAAAATCATTTTTACAATTTCATTACTGTACCGTATGACTTTGTGTCATCTGTTTTTTGCAGATGCAAGATTTAATTTGATATACCTAATATATTTTTGATATGAACTATTCAGTCTTATAGAATTAAGACACATATGTGAATTATATGAACATTTCGTTTTGAATTATTATGAGCTGGCTTATAAGACAGAAGAAATCATGAAAATAGCCTTCGCTTATCTTATGTTTGCTTTCCTGGAGTAAATAGGTCACTATGTTGATCGTAGGCGACAAAACACTCAAGCATTCAACCTATACAAGTATACACTACTTCAATGTTTTAAGCCGATTTTTATAGCTACACGTGGGCTCAGGCGGAATAGACACGCCCCGCAGGTCACTAACACACTACAAACTACGAAACGACTAAATTAAAATAGAAAACTACAACCTTGGAAACTTGTCAAAATTGTAATTTAAAGAAAATCTTTTCATCTTGTTGTGATATTGTGTGTAATGCGTTTCCGGTCAATTTTGTTGCGCGGCGTAAATTTTGTATTTGAAAAGAATTAAAGCATGTTTTACTGTAATAATTGATTTGACTCTGAATTATTCTGTGTATGAGTCATAGTTATACCTATTTGTTATAAGGCTCTGGTTAAAATTTATCATCAGATCCCAAATTGATAATAATGCGTCATTAAAAATACTATTATCAAATAATTCTATCGACACGATTGCAAGGCGTTGCGCGTTCTATAAACACTCAATTGTAAACAGTTTGAACTCTTAACGTAGGTGAATAGTTTTATACTTATGTAAATATTTTCGTATAAAAGTGGAATCTGTACAATAAACACATACCTAGGTAAAAATGCGCTTAGCTATTTCCCGGAAATCTAAATAGGTTTAAAAAAACGAAGAATTTTAGTTCAAAATTAATTAATTATAAATGCTTGTCAAATAAAAAATATCCCCGTTTGTTCTAATGCGTAATGTTGAAGCGAATCTAAACACGGCACAATGTGGCAACCCCCAACAATAAGTTTCCCGTAAGTTGTCTTTATACTTATACAAAACAACTTGAATGACAACGCACGATACTGAATGCCTTCGACACCAAATTTTATGATGGCCATATATTTACCGAAACTGGCATCAATATTGTAAAGAATTCATCATTCATCCATTAGTCACAGAACCAAAATATTTGTTGACAAAGCCTGCGTAATTGCAGTGTTACAATCGGAACACTCGCTACGAAGCTACCGTAACGCCCGCAATTTGTTCCCATTGTTCCACGCGCGTAATGTTTACATCAACGATTGTCCCTGCCCGCGCACTAAGGAGCTATTTTCAAAACAGCGGACACTTCATGAAATCCATTGTTTACGAATGAAAGAAGACAACATCCAACGAATGTAACTGACCTGCATTCTATTGCATTGCCCATTGGACTTTTCAAACTCAACTTCCTAATTCGCTGCACTTGCCCGTCGGCGCGGCACGTTAAGGTTAATTTAGAAAAGAGGAAAATTCTTGGGAAATCGTGAACTCTCACCTGTGTCATGAGGCGATCAGCACCGGTCCCCTCATCATCCCTAAAGTCGATGTCCGGATTATAATTCGGCACTAAGTCTTTAAACCTCTCGTCGTCTCTGGTGATGCGACCCTCAGGAGGTCCACTGGCGGTATTCTTGTTCTCACTAATGTTAGGGTCGTGCTGACCGAAGACCAGGGGTGAGATGCGGCGCGCACCCTGGCGGCGGGTGTAGCCGCGGCTCGGGCCGCATGCCGCCGCCGCGCCCAGCCACAGTAGCACCAGCGACAGCCTCATCTCGCAGACATCACTCCACACGCGCTCGACGCACGACCAACGCGCGCCGCGATCTGAGCGACACTGAGAGCCGGCAGCCGCAGCCCGATCCGATCGTCCGTGCACCACCGAGCCGGGCTGCATCCCTTGCTCACCGCCCATGCCGCCACCACCACCGAGCGTGCTCGCACGCCTCCGCTACCCGCGCCGCTACGCATTCACAGCTCGCTATTACTTCAACAAAACTGAATGTCATTTACACTGTCGATATCTAACGAGCATGCACACAACTTAACTATAAACGTCAATATTTTTATCAACTACCCTACATACTTCTACTGAATAAATTTTAGAAGATAATTATGTTAAATATTGAGTAAACGCAGGTATTACAAAAAAAAGATGTTAATTAGTCTTTAACTATTCAAGGGTTTTTATCCACATATAAGATAGTTTTAACGTTTGTAGTAAAGGAAAGTTTACATATGTGTATGTATCTGCAATTTATAAGCAACGCATTCACAGCTTGGATGCGGCAAAATATAACCACACAACACATACAAATAAATCGGTGTAACTTAATGTACATGCAAGTAAAAATCCCTACCTAGGTATACAAGACATCTGACAGCAACTTATCAAATTAAATATAGTATTTAATTTAAAAAAAAGCTGCTTCGCAACTGTAAACGTTTAACCAAATTAGATCGAGGAATCCTCTAAGATATTAGTTGAATCAATGTGGTCTCGCAGAATAAAATTTGTATTTTAAAAACTAATGGTCCTTTGTCTTCATATAGAAACGAAAGTCACGAAACGTGAAGGTTTTGCTAGAAACATGGAAAAACCGAGCATTAAGAGCATTCTGTACTTACTTAAAATAACTTACTGAAAAATGCTGTTATAATACTTATGTGTCTGCCTACCTTTCAGAGATTGAAATGCGTGCTAATATGTATGTCGTATTTTGTTGATTTTAAATTAGGAATTTACGTTATGTTTTAGGCATAAAGGTTTTTCCGTATTGTAAATGCTTACATGATATGATCAGTGAGTAACCTTTTAGGTACAGTTGGGAATTCGAAAACACCATGTTACTCTATTTGTGGTCAGCTAACTATGTCATATGACGATAATTTACCATAGACACATGTAATACCCATAGGTATTTACATCCTAGTTTAAGGAAAATATTAAAAAGGCATTAATAAAATTGTACATACTCTCTAAATGAATATACCTAATTAACTCATAAATATTTGTCATAGTCATCCTAACATTACCTATTAAATTTACATTAAACTATTTAAAATTGCGACTTCCTCCTTATTTTGAATGTTTTTCCTCATAGGAATAATAAGGAATAAACTTCTTAAGCAATCTTCTTATTTGGAAAACATCTATCAAAATTCTAAAGTTCATTCTATTACTAAAATACTTTAAGCATATTTTAATAATTATATCATTTATGAACTCAAACATCGAATGTAGATTCTTATACTAAATAATTTCTCTTGCAGGATGGGCAGGGATATTCTGAAAATAGTAAATTATCTCGACAATCATTGCGCTACATTAACTCTCGCCTGTCACTATTAAAAACCCATTCCAAATATAAAAATGCAAAAACCCATAATGTCAAAATATTCGCCTGGCATATTTCTCCTAACTACCATCCACGTCTTGGTGGCGCTAGTGTCGGTCTGTTTTTTTTTTCAAAGTTTAAAACTCCGCGGATTCAGAATGACTTTTCACATTTAACTTTCAGAATAGCACTGTTGAAGCTGCCATAACTATATATGCAACTAACGGCCGAAATCTGATATTTACATTTCACTCTATTACATTAATAACAGTCTATAAATTTTCCGAACAACCCTGAACAAACTAAAGAATATTTTTCTTTTTTTTTCTTATATGCCTAAACTTCTTAGTAAGAAAAACCTAACCGTTTAATCCTAGTGCCAAAAATCAATATGCGTAACGAAATACCTGAACAATACTATTACCATTTTCCTACGCACATAGGTACAATTCGCCAGTAATTAATGTTATCGAATAAGGAATATACCTATCTTTTCTCTCTTTCTTTTAATTATAGCATTTACTGTCCAAAACGTAAAAATAATCGCCATCTTAATTCCAACTAAACATACGCCAAGTTCTAACAATTACTAAGAGTTAGAACAGAAACATGATAAGAAAGACGATAGGTACTAACAAAGGATTACGTACATCTCTTTATTATGGTGTCGTAAACTCAATGGGATATCAGTATCGCAGTCTCATATTAGCCCAACCCCATTGATCAAAGATTAATTGTTTGTCACGCGTACACTGCGAATCGAGAGTTGAGTCAGAGCTGAAAGGTGTTTAATATGAGTAATGTAAGTAGGTAGTTACGTACTACAGGTATTAGACTTTTAGAGTGACTTTCAACTTTATTGCTATAAAATAAGGATGAAATTGAAATTCTAATCTATAATTTCAACTAGCTTCCGTATGCGGCTTCGCCCGCGAAAGTAGCATATATCCGATCCGGTCCGATCCTGATCCGTTCAGCCGGTATGGCGTGATTGAGTAACAAACGTCTAAACATCGTATTTGTAATAGGTATTAGTAAGATAGTAAGATTCATCCCCTATTTTTTTTCTAATTATTATTGCAAGTCATTCTCCATATTTCAAGTTTCCATTTTTGTAAACACACATTGACATTGTTGATGACATTTTCTATGTTTTATTATTTTATTATTGATAAACGATTATAATAAATTTAATTTGTAAAATTTTGATAGTATAATGACATTTAACTTTAGTATCTAATAATTGTTATGGCTAATTATTGCATGTATAATTCTTTGTTGTATAAATCAAAACACAATGTAATAATTGTTAATTAATTAAATGAAATAAAACCTCGTAACCAATGATAAAAGTATATGGTTGGTTACGAGGTTTTTAGATCTACATAAAAAGGTAAAATAAATTATTAAATTATTTTGAAAAATCTTTCACTAATGTCTTTGAAGTAAAAACGGACTTTTCTCTAGATTGAACGAGTGTAAATTATGTTAGATGTATAATTACATATTTATGCACTAGTAAACACTGGATCAACTTAGTAAACCAATAATATTTGACAGACCCGTCAAAAGGGAACACTTAGGCTACTTAGGGCTTGTCATATAATCATCTATGATAGCTGTTACGGGACCCTTCAGAAGCCTCAAATTCTGATAACAAGTGTCATTCACCCGTAAGCCGTAAATTACAGTTTGTTTTAGACTTCGTAGACATATAATTATTAAATTGAATCTTGTTAGACAATGCTTATTCCAATTTCAAAGCACATTATGCTTAATTAATTTATTAGGTCTAGTCTAGTCTAGGTCGTCTAGATACCGTAATAAAAAGTCTTAAAGAACTCCGAAAACGAAGACCTTAAAGAAATCGTGAATGAAGTTATAATTCTATTATTCCAAAGAGAATAAATACTCGCTAACCTACATCCCTAAAATGAGGAAATCCCGAATAGAGTTTTTGTATATTTATGTAAATGAAACGGGACTTCTATTTGGGACAATTTGTACACAAGTTCTTTGTATTCGCGCAATAAAATGCATAATCTGCATAATCAGCCCGTAAGTCATACGTTGGGACCAAGTTACATTTCGTTGACAAACCGCTTGTTTTTCTTTATCGCTTACATAACAAGGAAAATATTTTTACTGAGCATAAAGCTTGATAACTAATCCTTGATAACTAAGTCTAAAACATTCCTTGATAAAGTGAGGATTTTACTTAAATATTTTTGTTAGTCTTAATCTTAATGTTTTATTATAATTCTTAAACACGACTAGAAAAGGATTACCGTTATTATCCCGTAGAAGTAGTACAAAAATAGCAAAAGGCTGGCTTTCACACTTTCTTATCGAAATTTTTCAGAAAGGGTCCATGAGAAACTTCAAACAAAAAGGGTGCGAACGCAACGTGCTCGCGCCTCAAGCACAAAGATTTGCGTTACTCGCTGATAAGATAGGTGACGATAAGTAAAAGTAACTTCCTTTCACGTCTACCTCAGAACACTGCCGAATATGACGTCACCGTCAACTTATTAATTATCTAATAACCTTCTACCGGGTTGTTAAAGCATAAAGATACCCATTTAGATAGTAAATTCTTTTATTTCTGCACCTTTGTTACCAAACAATAATAGCGATAATCCAATATAATACCTATGGCGGTAACTTAGTACTAAGCATACTTTATGTGTTCAAAAATATGTATTGTTCAAATTTTAATATGCATAAAGACGGCAGTACATGAAGCTACCCCTAAAGTGTTAGCTTCAATGGAATTTGGACTTTATGATCAAATAATTCTTACCTTTGAATCGTGGTAATTCGAGAAACAATAGAAGAACAATAGGTGTGTGAACACCGGGGTTAGAGGTTCGTTTGGAGTTTGATGAAATACTGAACTTGAAAAATTTTGCATCTCTTAATGAACTTGCATCTTTTGATGTACAATATATACTTACTTGAAACATATCACAAATGCAACATAAATTGTTAAAAGTTTTTGTGAGTAGGTTATAAGAAAAAAAGTAGGTAGTCTATCCTCTGAACAAACTCGTTCGCATGCCAGATTTAATTATTGACGGTCTATGCAAAGATCAATTACTTATATACGTGGTTAAATACTTATAAAAAAGTTACCTTATCAGCAACAAATGACAGGAAGTGACCGCAACACAAATGGAACCAATTGTGTAATACTACACTAATTCTGGCGCCAGCCTTGATAGAGCAGACTTCCCAACACAATGCCACACTTCGCACACAATAAACTAACCCAATAATCAAGGGATGTTATTGTAACAGTCATAACCTTAACCATTCATTCATAATTCTGAGCGGATTTTCATTCCACAAGAATTTTAAAAAGTAAACTTTAAACTTCAAACAATTTCAGTCAAAATATCTGTTTTTAAAACCATTTAAAGCCTTTGAAAAACTTTAAATATTCCATTGCTGTCTGGAGCAAACACGTTGGGTTGATGAGATGGGTGAGTCAACATAAGAATGTTTTTTTGATACTTGACAGTCACGTAGATATATTTTTTTTTATTGTGTAGATTTGTAGTCACGAAGCTGAAATGGTAATTCTGTTTCAGTGAAAGAAATAATTTTTGGAATACATCATACACAATGCCGTACTAAGTGTCATTTCATACTTTGGTGCTGAACCCAGTCACTAGAAATATTTTCAAGTCTAAATCGTTAATAAGGAATAATTTAATTTATCATTCAATAACTCTGAGTAAGCAGAATAGAGTTCTAGCTATATGACTCTAACATCATCTCATAGAAATTTAATATTAGAATATTTTAAAAACGTGATTCAAAAAATTCAGTGAGCCTGAAGTTACTAAAATAAATTGAAAACCATGTACTTGCTCACACATACATTTAACTAAACAAAATCGACAAGCCGATTACCATCCTCTTTAAGGCAGCCAAAGCAAACTGTACCAAGTGGTGAACGAGTGTCGCGGCCGCACCTTCGTCACTGCGCTTGTGAACAAACATCATTTTCGTCAAAGGACCGGCAACTCGAGGTGTCGGCTAAGGCTAATGGAGGAGAGTGCTGGACCAATACGCCCGGCGTGTAGTGTTTTAAATTGTTTACTCTTCCATAAAACTCTCGAGCTCGCACACAAGACGGGTGCCGTGTCGTCCAACGGCGCGGATGAAGTGAGATATCTCCCTACTCGGACAGTAAACAAAGCTTCCTATGAACGCAGCCAGCTCTGCATATTAAAAAGGATACCTAATGACTAATACTCTTTTTCTTCGTACCTTATTATTTATTTGACCACTGTATGCAATTAGTCAGAGATGGATTAAAATACTTAAGATAGCTTTCCAGAGACATGGAATTGGCCTTAATTCCAGACTTCGTTGAAAAAAAAACATCAAAGTTTAAAGGTTGCAGAGATGCAGAATCGAAAACTTGCTCGACCAAAATACTTTGCATACCTTCGTATCGCCGGCGCGTAGCTACCGGAGCGAAATGTTTTAATTTTTTAACATATTATACTGAATTAATTCCGCGTTTAAATGCACATACCTAAGTGAAACGAAAAGAAATAATCGAACCAGACCTTGTGGAATGTTAACATTTAATTATATTAATTATGTTTTAACAGATTTCAGCAAACTTAGTAATTTTAGATCCAGAAACCTGTATTACCTATTACTCTATGAATATCCGAATTTAGATATGGTTAACAAAAGATATTGGAAAATACCAGATGCAGAGTTGTTACTCTTTTTTAGAGGTTTTAATGAAGTTAAAGAAGTACACACCTTTGCAAGGATCGGACTAGATAAAGCTTTGTGGTTTTTGCAAGCCCCGATGGCACTAAGACATAATTTTTATAATAAGTATCATTGTAGCTATAACTCCACCATTTAAAATAAAAGAATTGAAAGTAGAACAGAAGTGTACAAATTATATTATACTTCTGGTTAATTCTTTTAAGAATGACATTAAGAAGAGAAATTTGTAAGGAAACATTTCAGATCAATAAATATTTTGCCTGAAAATATCTATAGGTATGTATCAAAAAAGGCCAAGTAAGCCATGACTATGGGGTAATAATCAGTTAATCTTAGCATTGTATCCACTTCAACAAGTTAGGTATTCAAAAGCACTTTTTAAATGAAACTCATAAAGATACAAGGTGTAAAGGAGTCAAACCTGTTTGGTTCATGCGATGCCCTCTAATTGACAAATTGGAATCTTATTAAAATAAAGTTCAAGTTCCTAACTGAACGGGCGCGGGCGCAGGCAGACGTGTGTGATGTCAGCGCAGAGCTTGCCGACCGGGTGCCGAGCAGCGCCGAGTGAACACGATCGAGTCCCAAGCGGCGAGAATAAAAAGTCAGCAGCATTTGAAGCGCGTGCCTCGATGTGTGTGGTCCACTGTGGAGGTCCTCCTCGGCTTTTGATTTATTGAAATCAGAGTTTCACACCGTTTTCGGTAGTTAATTTGATTTTTGGTGTGCAAATTATGAGATAATTTTATTATTTGTGTTATATATTATTTGGTTTTAAATCAAGTAGGTACTTACTAGGTGATTATTTATATTTAATTTAAGGGAGAGAGATTTTGCGCACAAATTCTTGAAAATCGTTATGTAGGTAATGGTCTGGATTACGTACCTATATAATGAATAAAATGTTTTCGTGTACCTATTAACACATTTCCCTTTCGTCTTTTAGTTTGAGAGGCATCTTTCTATTAGGGTAGCAAATTAGGGCAAATGCCCGTCAAATGACAAGATTCTGTAATTTGTAGCTGTTGCGCTTTACTAATGTTTTTTTTTTTTTGCCATGAGTCTATATTCGGTAATTCGTATTACAACACCAAAAATTTACAAATACGTTATTGAGTTTTAGGGATGGGGGCTTCTGGTACCACTGGACCACTACGGTCTTAAGGCTTTTATATGAGCCTACCGATGGGCCCGCCCTATGAAAACACAGGGCCTTAAATTGGATTAGAACCGACTCCAGCCCCAAACGACGGTTATTCGACTCTTGTTAGTAGCGCATCCATTGCTTCATAACCGTCCTTGTGTGTCTAGCAGGTGACCAAAACGCCGTGGAAAATAGCAAAGCACTTTTTTATTTTGGCGTAATTTGAAATAATACCCAGGTAAAAAAAAACAATTAAACTTTGAGTGGGAATGCACATCGTCCTTCCTAAGTTAAAAATGTACCTACATAAAAGGGACACTTCAAATAGATGTATATATTTTTAAATCATCTAATGACTTCAATCTCGACCTGGGTTGGGCTGGTAAGGCTAGAGACTTACTGACTAAAAACCATCCCGTTTCATCTGCCCATCCGTGCTCAGATCTGGTTCTAGTCGGGTGGCGAGTTAGCTTTGTACAGCATCTGCAGACCCGCGATTTTGGTGGCCGGAGATCATCACGCAATCCTAGATGTCTGGGGCGTGGCATGTCCTCCTTTCCTTGGAGACGTGACAGTACCTACTAAGCCCGAGCAAAGCACACCACCACTGTATGCTCCAACGTATGGTCCACAGGTCAGATTAAACTGGTATTGTATAGCTTGATGTTGTACCTACCCTACATTGGTTTCTGTTTCGGCAAGTTTAATTTTTCGGTGAGAAAAAAATACGAATCCAATGGTTTAGTCGAGTCATTAAATAATTGTAATGGCTTAAGTTTTCATAGTGGTAGATAGAAGACAAATGCTTTAGCACGATTGGGCCGGTTCGACCGGATTACTCCGGTAATACCATGGCCTCACAGAACACCAGGGTGAAACAATACTTACTTCATGTTTCGCCTTATGACTGAGGTTACCGAAGGCCCAATGTACTGCCCGCCTATCATTTATCTTTGGTGGAAAATAATTTCATACCTCTTAGAATAATATTACTGACTTAAACTACCTACCCCGTTCTATCTCCTACTCCATCCTGGGGCCGCAGCACATTATTGCGTTTGACCCCAAACCCAGTCTGAATCAGCCCCATTTGTGGTGGTCTGCTGGCTTTTTGGAGCACTTCGCAAGTCTGGATTCCTTAAATCCTTAACTACCCACAAATCTGTCCTGCAACGGACAAATCAAATTTAAGTGTTATGAGTGACCTTGTACGACCCCAATTGCTAACCAGCAGATGATGCGAATGATCATTTGCAAAATCCCTTCGCCGTGTTATAATGTGAAGGCTTTTTCTGATCTAAAACTTAATCTGTTCATCGTCATCCCACCCTTATATCACATAAAATACAAATAACTTTTAAAACCTAGGTACTCTATATGTATTTAAATAGATATGCATGTAATCTACTTACATACATATCTATATAAAATAAGAAGACATGCAAATAGTGAAATAACGAATAAACTATAACCAACAAATATTTCATTACGATACCAATTTTCACATTGCATATTAAAATAAGTACTGTTGATTTTAATTTTACACCGAAAACAGTTTCTACTGACTATATGCAGCGACGAATACACCATATCTATATTAGTCATTTTACCATAATAAAAAATCTACATGCCAAAGATTTACTTCAATCTAAATAAACAGAATCCTCTTTAACTATCGTTTCGGCTTCAGTAACAGTTTTCAAATCCGCTTCAAACGAAGTAATGTCACTGCTTGAATTAGCGTTAAGCTCTGGATATCTAGGTATCAGCTCAAAATTATTGGCATCATACATATCATCGGAATTCGTTTTCCACTTACTTGCAATAATTTGCAAAGGCTCTAAGCATTGTAAACTTTGTTTAACTCTCAAAAGTTCAATGTTACATTGATTTTCAACTTCTAAAAGCTTAAGGCGATAAGCTTTGGCCAACATTTGCTTCCTGATCGCATTTTTCTTTTCAATTTGCGCTAAATTGAGCGTATTCTGATATTTTTGCAATTGTTTTTCATATTCCATTAAATTTTCGTCACAACTCAGTTTACTATCCACACAGTCGCTGTACAAGTTGGTACTGTACGGTACATCCCCCGTCAACACATTAGATGTCGAGAGACACTGATGACTGGTTGTGCATTTTGAGGTAGGCTCAGAAACACGTTGAGAATTTTTGCTTTGCTTTTCTAGTTTCGCTTTCTCTTCATTAAGTTCAATCTTCAGAGCCTCAATTATATTTTTGCATTGGGCTATTCTTTCCTTCATTTTAGCTTCATTGTCATCGATCATCTGCGTTGTAACTTCACTCTGTCCCTCTTTATCATCTCCCTTTTCTGTTTGTTGTTCTTCGCATACAAGGGTTTGCTCTTCTTTTACAGTTAGCTTCGTGTCATCTACAAGCCTTGGAGATGTTGAAATTTTATTATCGCCAGAAGCGTGTTTTATAGAATCCATCTTAAATAAAATAGCATCCAGCCATAAGGGTATATTGTAAAAATGTGTATTATCAACAATAACAAAAGTTACATATTTGTCAGACCCGTCCAAGTTTTTTAGAACATGAGATACCAGCCAAGTACATAGTTTGAGATAATAGCTAACCTCTTTAGATATTTGTCATTTGTTTAAATTCATCTAACTAACCTTCATCCTTCATCAAAGAAATACGGAAAAGATTTGTCGTTTTTCAGCTAGACTCGGTATGAACTACTACCAAAACGAGAATAAAAACAAACAACTATTATGTAGCCCTAAAACCTCAGCATTGGACCATGTTAAGGCTGGTTGTTTGTATCGCGAAATATTGAAGGAAAAAACCTACTTAATGCTTTTTTATGGGAAAGAGGGCAAACGAGTTTTTAAACGAATCACCTAGTCGAATGGCATCAGCGCGCCCTAGAAAACTCACTTTATTAAAAAGTCTAGAGAAGTTGTTAGCGCATTGCCAACAGGTAAGCACAGTAATTTCTTTCATATGAGGACGCATAAGATAGGCTTTAAATTCTAACTCATTTCTATCAGACTACGAATTGAAGTCAGGTTGAAGACTCGTTTATACATTTTAAGTATAATTCATAATTTCATAGTGGTCCAGAGGTTCAGGTGCTCGATTTTCCCTCATGAATGCACGAGTTGCGAGTTTGCGGGTTCGAAACGTGGCAAGTACCAGTGTGATTCTTATTGAGGAGAAGGATTGGGCCTCCGGTAACCTCACTCACACGGCGAAACACAACGCAGTAGTTGTTTCATGCCGGTTTGACGCTTGACTTTATAATTTCTAATTATAAGTTTTACACATCACGTTGATTACTGCTGAAACCATCTCCATGCCAGAAAGGCACTTATGTTAAAATAGTTTAATTTTGTTATTTGGTTGCCTATTTTCTGATTAATTTAATTTTCTCGATCTCAAATTATTGCACCGGCTTAAACTAAACTGAACGTGGCCATACCGGTGACTGGCGACTGGCAACACTCTAAAAAATTTTCTTTGACATTGACATTACATCTGAACTTCTGTCAGTTTACCGGTTATTTTGGCGCGTTTGTAGTTTTATTGTCCAGATTATTTCGTAAATTGTAATTTAATACTTGCTTGTTTTTGTAGATTTAACTATCACTAAAATATGGGGCTCTTGGAATTGTGTGAAAAGTATTTTCAAACCACCAATCTGTACGAAGTTTTACAGATTCCTGAAACTGCTTCGGACAAAGAAGGTAATACACGATATAATATCATATCTTTAAAATATGATAATTCGAGCGTATTATATTATAATAACAACCAATAATTAAGCTTTACAATTATATTAAAAATAATTTTAGCTTTTACATATGATACAAAGCACTATTTACGTGAGAGTAAGTCAACTTTTGTCTCGTTTATTATTTCGTGTGGTATTTTGTTTGTGCGCTCGATGAAAATTTATATAGTCAGTTAAATCTTTGTCTGCCGCCAAAACTGTTGACGGAAAATCCTCCGCTAGCGTCGGTCAACATTGACCGTGATGGCAGTGAATGGTTAAGTCACAACAATAAATTCGGAAATACAAATAATTTTGTATTTTATCACCTTATAAATTTAGATTCGATTGCTGAATTCGTACCTGCTAACGTAAACTTATCTTAATAAATAATATATTTGACAAACTGAGCATCTCCTATTTTTGATATCCAACTATAACCTTTCAAATTTATTTACAGTCAAAAAGGCATATCACAAATTATCTTTGAAAGTTCACCCAGACAGAGTGGAAGAAGCAGAAAAGTTAGAAGCTACTGAAAAATTCAAAGTGCTGGGCAGTATCCATGCTATTCTAACTGATAAGGAGAAAAGGGCTATATATGATGAAACCAAATGTGTGGATGATGATGACTTTAATGTTATTGTTGACCGTGACTGGTGTTGTTATTGGCGAGTATTATTTAAGAAAATTACTGATGAAGACATAAGAGCTTATGAAAAGGAGTATGTTGGTAAGTTATTTAGTGTTGAACTTCATGAGTGACTGTTTCTACTTATAAACTATTCAATTATTACTGCTAGCTAGAAACACTATTTTCTATTTACAGACTTTTACAAGTAATTTGCTTATGTTTTATTTATTAATAAATATAGGGAAGTGCTTCAAAGATGTGTTTTTATCATTTTACAGGCTCTGAACAGGAGAAAAAAGACATCAAGCAAGTATATTTAAATGCGAAAGGAGACATGAATTACATTGTAGATCATGTACAATTTGCTAGAACTGACCAGGAACCAAGAATTCGGGAGATAATCAATGTAAGATTTCATTAAATTAATTTTAACAGTGATCTAATTGTTGCCTTCTATTATTTATTTGAAAATTGGTTATGTTATAACCTTAACTAAATATTACTTAACTGTAATAATTATATAACGAGGATTGTTGATAAGCAAGTTTCTTTTTAAACACATCATCAGCTTTTAAGGAGCAAGACCTCTTTTTATACAGAGAAGGTTTGAATATTAATCACCATGCTCACTCAAGGCAGAAAAGTCCCCTTGATATGTTTTTCTGCCAATGGTGTCTGAATAATCATAGAAAGTGCATACAACTTGGAAAAAATTACATTAGTACTTGCCAGGTTTCGAATCTGCACCTTCATACATGAGATGCGAATGCCTTTCCCTCCAGGCCAACACAACATCTTTTTAAACAATTGTTTAATTTAAAGTACATTCTATATCAAATGAAATGAAATAAAGCATTTCCTTCAATTTTGTTTTATATATATCATACATGACTGTTTATATTTAAGGAAATGATAAAAAGTGGTGAAGTACCAGAATACAAAATATTTACCCATGAACCTGCTAGTAAAAGGCTTAAGAGAATTGCTAAAGAAAAAAAGGAAGCTAAATTAGCTGAAGAAATGCAAAAGGAATTGCAAAAAGAGAACCCAGGTAAAGAATTTGTTATGTTTTAAATATGGTATATATACTTTTCTGACAGGCCACTAAATTAATTGACTAAGTAATACACATGCAACAAATTCCGTGTATGTTATCAGTAATTAAACTCAATTCTTACCTCTATTATACAGTTTCTACTTTGCAAATTCACCCAAAACAATTTTAAACATTTGCAATGCAATGAAAGAGTTGAAATTTATAGAAATCCAACCTAAGGAATCCTTATAGTATTTTATATGGTGATTATTTGCTTATTTATATTATATTTTTGTTTATTTTCAGGTCCAATGAGCCTAGAACTTTCAATAAAGCAGAAACAAAAAGAGAGAGCTCAACAAATAGATTCCTTCATAGACGGACTAGCTGCTAAATATGGAGGAAGTGCCAGTAAACCAAAGGCTAATAAAAGGAAAGCAGCTACAAAGACTGATACTGCTACAAAAAATAAAAGGCGAAGATAGATTTAGTTTACTATTTTTTTAATCAATTCATAAAGATACACCTTTTAGTATTGGAACTCAAAACTGACCTCACATCCTAAAATTGAAATCATCCTTAGTGGAACCATTTAAGTTCACTTCACTGTATTGAAATAAGAAAAGTATACAACTTCAGGGTTGCTGTTAACAATTATGTTTGTGCTGTAATTTTAAAGGCTACTTTTTATAAAAATAGCAATTATAAATAAAATTGCAGTTTATTCAGTCTTCCTCTTCCATTGCAACTTCCAACTGGCTTTCAGAATAAAATGGACCTTGTTCAACATAAGTATGAAGTCTCCCAATTATAGTGGCATCAAAAGCAGGGGAGTTAGCCAGCCTTTTTATAATATCATATTTTGCTTCATTTGTCTCTTTTGTGTAAACAATCGACCTATCCATTAAAAATTCAATGAAACCTGTAAACGAAGTAATAATTAATTCAATTATGATCTGATTTGTGTTATTTATTACTAGCTATTAGAGATGTCAAAAATTTTCATTTCTTAAGTATATGTGTTTTGGATGTAAGAGATCTTTTATTTGGTCATTTTAAAAGATTTTTTTTCTTTCATGCAAAATCGTAGTGTAAGGCAATTTATTGTTGAAAGCAAATTTTTTAACATATTTTATAAATAATAATAGGTACCTGCAGCTCTAGCTACCATCTCTTCACCCCACTGATGTTGACAAACAGCATCCAGTAAGACAAATGCAGCATGTTTTATATCAGGAAAAGGATTCTTGCAAATTTCAAACAAAGTTTCCATGGGCTTTGCATCCAGTGTCCTAAACCACTCTCGTGTCATTAATGTTACTCTATGATCGACAGGAGTGCTCCTTGACACAGTGGGATCTTTATCTATGCTCATGAGCCCAGCAAAGCAATTCAAAGCACGCACCTTAATTTCAGTATTACTGTTTCTGATCAGTCTACTCACATTGTTGACAGCCTGAGTATATTTGCTACCTAAAACAATAACTTGTTTGACATAACTATCAATCATATGAAGTAACAAAGATAAAATTTAATGTTTTTTCATAATGAACATACCCAATGCTGCAAGGCACAACTTTCCTTCAACTGTTGTACCAATAAATCCCAAAGTATCAAGAGCAACTGGTAGTATAGCTTGGTCAGCAGACTCAATTGCTTCAAACAAAGTATCAAAAACAACTGTATGCTTTTCAAATATTTCTTTAGGATAGCTGTGTGCTATACATCCAAAGAACTTCATATAGCCTGGAATTTATATTAGTGTTAATACATATTCCTACTTTTACAAATTTTGTTGGAATGAAGAATTCAAATGCAAATTAAATTTCATCACTACCTGGTATTAATAATCCTTTGAGAGGATTGTTTTGCAGCTCTGTAACATATCCTAAAATCTTTTGTAGTGATCCATTTTGCACAAGATAATTGATGCCATGAGGCTTCATGGCTAATCTTGAAAGTAGTTCAAGTATGTTCACTTGGTACAGAATATCATCAGTTTGCAATTCAGATACCATAAAGTCAACATACTTCATGTCCGCACACATCTTGAACAACTCGTATGATTTTGATGAAATGTGGACGACTACCTTAAAATTAAAAAATATTTGTTTTTAACAATTTTGTTATCAATATAACAATTCAGTTTGAAAAGGTTTGAGTTATAAGTATTGTTTATATACCTCAAAAACATTACACTTGCTGCTGCTATTAAGTTCAAGTGCCATCTGCATTTCTTCCAGAACTTTATGGTAGGCTTCATGTGGTAAGTTAGATGTTATCAAAACTGCTTCATTAGCGACTCCTACGTCTGGGTCACTTACTAACTGTGCAACAGCTACATAAACATCAATATACTGAGTCACCGGGAGTAAGTTTGGACTGGTTGAAACTGCTTTTCGTACCTTAAATAAATTTTAGATTGATATATATATATTGAGATGAATAAAGATCACTGGCCCAAGAATTGCACTAACCTGGTCAATAGCAAGTCTCCTTACACAACTCTTTTCATGACGAAGCAAATACATTATATGACTTGTGTAATTTTTTACGACATCTCCTGGTTGAAACTTTTCGAAACATATCCTCAGAACTTCACAAGTTAAATCTACATGGGATCTATAAAATCAATATACATAGGTCACATGTAACAAAAATATTACAACAACAAAATATAACAAGATGGCCAAATGTACAAAAATAAACAACTTTTATAACACATACGTGTTTGACAAATTCAGACATTGAACAATTTTAGAAATTCCCTCATCTCTTATGGTGTTTATAGCTTCTTCAGCAGGTTTGAAGGCAATCAAATTTTTGATGTCATTTAAAGCAGCCGGTATATTTTCCTCTCTCTGGAGGCTTCTTATAAATGCACGATATTGGTCGGTATCCTCACTAGACATCTTGCTTAGGATTCTTTTCTTAATCTTTCTCAGATATTTAAGTTAAATTGGTATTGAATTTAGAAAGAATATAAAATAATAAAATACTGAAAACAAACTGAATTTACTTTACTGCCTGTCAAGATTTTCGCTTGTCATTGTTGTCAATAATTCAATGTCGCTGTCAATGTCAATATAAAAAACCAAGTGTCAAGTTATGACTACAGATAAGACAAACACATTTTTACATGTTTTAAGGTTCAATTAAATAGCAAATATATGCATAATATTTTTTTAATTTCACTGTATTTAATAATAGTTGAATGTTAAGAATACGATTTTTTCGCCCGCCAGTCCAAAAATTCATCAATATCATCTTCATTATCTGAATCTCCCTTTTCATCTTCACTCATTTTCTCCAAATCTTGTTTTGTCTTCTTAGTTTCTTCTTTCTTCAACTCGAGGTCTAAAACCCTGTAAAATTAAATTATTATTATATAATAATTATTATTACATATCCACAAAAACCAAATCTATCTGTATACTTTTCATCTTTATAATTTATTAAACTTACTTTGACCAAATTCGGATTTGTTCATCTATTTCATCAATTTGTCTTTCTGCTGTTGCTTCTTCTTGCTCTCCAGCAATAATTTCAGCCGAAGCAGTTGCCTCTTCTTTTATTTCTTTTTGGAATTTTTCCCACTCCTCTTCAATAGGATCTTTATATTCAATGTTGCGTACCTACAAATAATGCATGCAAGTATTTATTTATAAACTTTTACCATGACTTCTACTTACATATTTAAGAACTAAATGGCCGATGAAAAGATTACCTAATAAAAAATGCTTAAAATTGTAATACCGTTCCAAAAATAAACACACGGAACGCAACAAACCGACAAACGTCAAACATTATCAATTTTCAACATGACGATTCAATTTTAGCTGCAGACGCAGTTTTATATTTTTCGTGCTGTCCAGGTGCATATAAATTTCGTGTATTCAACAGAATTTCCATCTATTATAAATACAATTTAAATTTCACCAAATCTCAATGTTATTGATACAAAAGTTGCCACAAAATTTTATAAAAAACTATTCACTAAATTATTTTAGGTCCATGAGTGGTATACAAAATAAAATGGATGAGACGTGCATGTTAAAGTATGTAAAAGCATGCATTCCGCCTTTGGACGGTAGTAACCATAAAGGTCAGGCAGGCCGGATAGGAGTTATTGGAGGTTCATTAGAATACACAGGTGCACCATATTTTTCTGGAATAAGTGCATTGAGAGTTAGTATTTCTTTAACATTTATTTTGAACTCTTTATATGCACAATAATAAAATTGAAACAAATAATAGAATTGTTAAAGATAATTCTTATCTTTACAGGTAGGAGCAGACTTAACCCATATATTCTGTACAAAAGATTCAGCCACTGTTATAAAGTCATACAGTCCTGAATTAATAGTTCATCCCTTACTGGATTTCCCAAATGGTGTATCCGAGATATCTGAATGGTTTGAGAGACTACATGCTATAGTCATAGGACCAGGATTAGGTCGTCAAAAAGAGACATTTAATGTAGTGACTGAACTCATTGAAGTCATACGTGAGAAAAGAATTCCTTTGGTTATTGATGCTGATGGTTTATTCTTAATCACTGAAAAGATACATTTGTTAAAAGAATTCATGTCCCCAGTTATACTTACACCAAATAAAATAGAGTTTGAAAGACTTTGTGCTAAAACAAATGGGCCCACAGGTTTGAATCAATTAGGTAGATATGTGACCATATTCAAGAAGGGACAAATTGATGAGGTATACAGTGTTGATGCTAATGTTCAATGGAAGTTGAATATTGGAGGGTCAGGCAGGAGATGTGGAGGACAAGGAGATTTACTCTCTGGAGCAATTGCAATCATGATGCACTGGACCTTAGCAAATAAAGATAAAATACTTATGGAAACATGTGGAGAAGATAAGGTCTTGTTAGCTTCTTCGCTTTCATGTTATGGTGCTAGCCGTTTGATAAGACTGTGTAATGAGAAAGCTTTTGCAGTAAAAGGCCGTAGTATGGTAGCCTCTGACATGATTGAGTACATCCATGAATGTTTTGAACATTTATTTGGTCAGTAAAATTTTGCAGTTAATATCATAAATTAACTAAAAATCGCGGGTTACTCACGTGTGTATGCGCGGCGACGTCTACGCACGTTGCGCAGCCTACTGATAGTAGGATGCGCGACGTCGCCGCGTCCGCGCATGCTGCTCATGAGGAAGAACCCCTCTGTGGTTCAACTAGTAGAGCTTTTCTCAATATGAGATAGATATATAGATATATATGAGATAACACACGTGAGTAACCCACGATTTTTAGTTAATTTAATATCATAAAATCTTTAATAAGTTTTCTAGTTCTATACTTTTCTATTAAATAAGTATGATAATGTTATGCTCATTCTAAGTACTTGGTTTATAGTTCATAAGGTATTATTGTTTTATTATTATAAATGGGGAATTAAAGCAATTTGAATAAAATGCAGATTATGCTTCTTTCTCTGAATCCTTCCTTACCTTAGCATCTAGTATGGGGTCATCAAAGAAACCTTCTGGCAAAGGCTGTTCTGATCCTTGAGGTACTTCCACTTCTGCTGTACTAGTTGCTGGTAAATCTGAAAGTTATTTTTTTGTGTTCAATTTCCACTGAAAATTTAACTGCCAATTTATCATAAATATTAATCCCAAGCTAATCCCGGTGTTCACACCAATTGCCTTACTATTGTATCTCTAATTATCATGACTAAAAGGTTAATTTGGTGGATAAATAAATAATGTATAAAAATTGAAATTACAGAATACCTACATGAAAAGAAACAAAACATAAGTTATTGCCTATGGTTTATGTGGTAAAGTAATACCAACTTCAGTGCAATTAAAATAAACTGATAACACAAAGTATGAATTGTGGTATTGGATTGTACATTTACATGCGGTTCTGAAAGGCTTGTCAATGCAAAAATTAACTAATCTCCTGTTAAATCTCTTGTCAAGTCATCTGATTGGTTGACTGAATTATCAACAACCAATCAGATGACTTGACAAGAGATTAAATTGATTTTAACATTGATCGGCCTTTCGGAAACCGGGTGTAAGTGTTCAGGTTGTCCTGAACACTAAATGTACAATCCAATTAGTTAGACCATCAGTGTCTAGAAATGGACTTCCATGACACAACTTTAGTTTTTACTAGATATTAACTATGTTAGTAAGCAAACCATAGAAACCAATACCTTCTATATTGACAGTTGGTGTGGTAAGGATTAGTGGTGTCCTTTTTATTTCTTCATCATGGAAGGTTATAATTTGAGGAGCTTTGTTTTTGGGTGGCTGAACAGCAATCTTCGGTACTTCAGCATTTTTCAAAATTCCTTTTAACTTTTTTTCTGGTGGAGCATCTCTTGGTGGACTGCTACTTTTATGTTTAATCTTTCCAACAGTAAAGTTATTTGTCAATTCTTTTAGCTTTTTTGCCTTTTCAACATTCTCTCTGTGTTGTTTGCTATTTATGTGCACTTGCCACACTCGTTCTGACCGGACTACTGAGTTACAAAGTATACACATTAACTGTCCCGTGTTATTATACTTTGCAAGAGGATTATCTATTTTTGTTGGTTTGACATTGCTCTTTTTTCTTTCAGCCATCAAACGACGCATTTCTTCTTGTGCTTTTTGCTTTTCTATTTTAAGACGGAGAGACATTTTGTTTGTTTATTATACGATAGGATTATTGTAGATATTCTAATACCAATTATATATTCAGGTAAAATATAAGCGTTCTTTGATCGAATAGGGAAAGGATAAGAAATGGAAAAGTAAAGAATCCTTGAAGAATAGAAGAATTACAGAATCCTGGTCAATCCTCTATCAACAAACAAGAAAACTGACAGTCTACAGTCTGACAGTTGACAGTTAATAAAACGTCGTACTTAAATGTCAGGACAAAATAGTGTGTACCTACGTAAAGTTATTTTATTATCGGTTTTATCTACAACACTGTATTACTACATTCAAGGAAGAACTTATATAACTTACTTTAAGTTAATTACGTAACATCATTATTTTAATATCCATGTAATTTTTGTACTGTATCTTACTACTACTATGACTAGGAACATGATTTAGGCAAATAATGAATTTGTCTACTGTCCTTTTCTTACTGTTACTTGTGGGCAGTTGTGGGGGCCCATTAGGGCCATGTCCAGCTGGGATTTCGGTTAGTGTTACCATATACCACAAACAGCCTGGCTCGATACAGGAGTAAGAAAACAAACATGGTTTTTAGTCAGCATGATCTTTTTTATTTTATAGGACTGCAAACGAGCACATGAATTACCTGATAGTAAGCAATCAGCGCCACCTATGGACACCCGCAATAACCAGAGATGTGATTTATTTGAAATACTTCTATTTTAAATGCAAATAGAAAATGCAAAATACCTATTTTGTATTTTGTATTTAAATACCTTTCAGTGAAAAGTATTTTGTATTTTATTTGAAATGCCTTTCGAGATGCATTTTGTATTTTTAATATTCATTTGAAAATGCTAAATACTTTGTGATTATGTTTAGCAAACATTATCAGTCAAAACAAAAAAGCTTGTATTGCCGAATTCGATATTTTCTTCTTTGGTCAGAGTGCGAGCCTTATTTCAAGTAAAAAAAATGAGAAGGAGCATGTTAAGGAGCTGTTTATCACAGAAGTCAGGAAATTTTAAAATGAAAATTAAGAAGCCTTGCCTCCCATCACAGACATAGGATCGAAAAAGAAGACATAGCGAGTCTTATTACATGTTCCAGGATTCAGACTCCTCTGCAACCAGTGAGGGTGGTAGTGCTAATAATACTACAATAGATCTGGAAACCCTGCAATATTTTAAGGATGAGAGCACAACTCTGGAGATGCTAAATACTTATCCTACAATTATTTTTTTTAAATACAACACATCCCTACCAAGTACAGCACCAGTAGAAAGGCTTTTTTTGTATGGGGGAATGATTATGAGACCTCACAGAAGAAAAATGAATGATGATGTATTCAAACAACTGGTATTGTTAAAAAGCGTAATCAATAAAAATGATATTTATTTTTATTACTTTTTAACAATACCAGTCCAGTTCTTATTAATTTTAATAAGAAAAGTCATATGTTATGTGTTATTAATTTGACGATTGTTTTTCGGCTCGGCATTGTGTTCTCTATTATAATAAATGATATATAATAAATAAAAATAAGTATCTGTAATTTGGTCAGAGGGTATTTTATTTTGAAAAAGTATTTTGAAAATACCTATTTTGCATTTAGCATTTGAAATACAAAACGCAAAACTATTTGGTATTTTGCATTTGAAATAGTAAATCTGAAAAGTATTTTGCATTTTGTATTTAAATGCTTTTTTAAAACCATTTTGTACATCTCTGGCAATAACATACGACTTACGAGAAACTACTTTTGGGGATTAAGGATTTGGAAATTTAGGGTGGGGAGGGATTAGGGAAAGGCTTCCGGTAACTTCATTCAGACGGCAGATCACAATTCACAACGCTGTGGTTGTTTCATGCGGGTTATCTGTTAGGCCGTAGTATCACTCCGGTCGAGCAGACCCATTCGTGCCAAAGCATGACTTTCCCACACTTAAAACGTCGTCATAGTCTGCCACATCGTCTCTCATAATATTGATACAAAACTCGCTTAACTAAAAAATTTGGTGGATATAAAATATTTTCATGGTCTAAAATAGCTGTATATATATGCACATTGCTTCCAAGATATGTATTTGCCTTTGTCGCACCAGGTGCCTATCGGTTTCATGCATTTATTATGATTGGAGACCGCGTTGCGTGCTACGTTGGGTCTAATATTTGTAACTGGGTTGTTCTGTGCCGCTACGACCAACCAGCCACGCTAATAAATACGAGTAGTATTTCGGCCTTCAAAGTGATGTTTATAATTTACCTACTACCTAATAAATTTTTTCTTCACACTTGATTCACACTCACAGCATGGATTGATGCTTTGATGCACGACAATGTACAAAATTGCTGCATAGAAAAAAATTTAGCAACATGAAATATTATGATAACCAATTTTAATGTTTGAAATTAATTAAGGATAATATAATCAATGGTGCTTAAATATAATTAGTATTATTTATTATAAAATAAGGATATTTGTGAATTTTTTTAGAGCTCTACAATGATTTACACACTACATAAAAATAATATTATAAACCATCAATCAAAATAAGTACAGTACTTAAGTATGTGTATTGGAGAAGTACATCTACATAAATATTATAAAGAGGTATTTGTTAGTTTGTATGTTTATTTTTATTGTATGGTACCTAATTCCTGACAAACCACACATGCAAAAATACAGTGACTTTTAGGATATAAGACCTTTCCTTATTAGACAATGTAATTCTTGCAAATAAACACTTTTGAATTTGAATTTGAAAAATCTTTCTTACTTTTATTTGGAAGGTAAAAGAGCGTTACATATATTTTGTGCGCTTATTATCAATTTTGGGGATTTGCCTGAGATAACTCACCTAATTTTAGTGTAAGACGTATAAATAATACATACGTCTATATCTTGATGTGAAAAAATATTTTGCTTTGTTAAGCGGGTCACGCATGCACTGTAACGGTCTTATTTTGTGAAAATTCAAATTCTGTCATAGATGTCGTAACTCTATAGAGTGATGTCAATTTCGGAGTTAGTTTTTGGTGCTTCAGTTGGTAGTCGCCAATTTTTTTCGGGTTTTCAAAGCTTAAAACTTTAAATAATTTACAATTTGCTTGTACTAGAATGTTAATCTATCAATAAATTACGTTTACTTATATCATCTACGCGGTAACTCATTTGTAACTAGTATATCGAGCTCGAAACCTTATTTTCTAAGAACGCTTATTTGTGGTTCACTGTGCTGTGTTTATCCCTCATGCTGTGATATTTCAGCGCTATTTTAGTTCTAAAATGGACATCGACGTTAGTAAAGAAAATATTCAACCACTGAGAGGTGGCAGAAACCTTGTGCAATTGGGTACAGCGTTGCAAGCTCAGTCGGATGTTGAGGCCCAGAGACAGCTGCAGTTACAAAAAGAGTAAACATTTTGTTCTTAAATTTTAAATTTGTGCTTAAATACCACATAATGTGTGCTAAAAAACCGTCCGGCATCTATTATTTTCTTAACACTATCATGTGAAATATCAACATGTGTTATTTTTTACTGTGTCTTTCAGTGATAGTATTTAGTTTGTTTACTGGCGTCATAATGTAATACAGATGGTTGTAGTTGTTATTTGTCAGCTGCATTGGTTTTTCCTTTGGCAGGGAACATGAAGCAGCTATCAGACTCTACCAGGGCACAGACCCGTTGGATCCCTGGTTCAACTACATCCAATGGGTTGAACAGTGCTTCCCTAAACATGGACATGAAGGGCACATTGATAAGTTGATAAAAGACTGTCTGCAGCTGTTTGAGAATGAAAGAAAATATTATCAAGATAGAAGATTTGTTAAGTTATGGATAAAATATGTAAGTGATGAAAGTATTTAAATTATTCCTGATTTCTTGTCCTGTCTTTAGAGATAGCAAAGTTAAGCATAATTAAAGTACATACATTTTACAGATATAGCATTTTATCAATGTACTAGCTTTTGCCTGCGACTTGTTTGTGTGGAATAGTGGATTCCTGCAGATTTTTAGTTTAAAATCTATCCTATGTCCGTTCTCAAGTTCTAAACTATGTCTGTACCAAATTTCACACAATAAGGTTCAGTAATTTTGGTGTGAAGAAAAGACAGACAGACAGACTGAGTTACTTTGGCATTTATAATATTAGTTTGGATTGTGCAAATTATTATGAGCCACTTTTATAGTATGAAGGTTAATTAGATAAAAAAAATTCTTGTATTATAGTTATTTCAAAGTTGTATTAGTCGAATTAGATGTGATCTTTGCTGCAAAAACATTGTACAAACCTCTGTAATCACTTATTTGTTTTCTGTTGTAAGGTGTAATTGTTTACAGTCTATTGCAGAATGCTAACTTAGGAATGGTAAACATTTGTTTTTATTGTAGGTTGACTGTCTTTCTAATCCTTTGGAGATTTACCAAAGGCTATACAATACTGGCATTGGAGTGGAATGCTCAGAGTTCTACCGAGCTTGGGCATGCTACTGCGAGGAGTCTGGTGACTACAAGAAAGCCAATCAGGTGTATATGTTGGGTCTTCAGGCTAAAGCACAGCCTTTGGATGAACTGGAGCAGGCGCACATGTAAGTTATACATTGTTATGTAATTATTGAATTCAGGCATTGGCCCCTGTTTTACATTACATAATAAAATGGTATCAACCTGAAACAAAATGGTATAATTGATTTAGTCATAGGTCTGATTATTTATTTAGCAGTTATAATTTAAACATTGTAGATCTTTGTGTTCTGTATTGAGGTGACTTTTTGCTTCATGCTTAAAATTAGGTACAATTGAAATTTCTTTAGCAACAATAGATATTTGTGAAGTGTTTATGTTGGGAATCAGATTATAAGTATGTTTTTTGTAGATTTGCCTCAAGGCTAGTAATTTATTACATTTAAAATGTTGGCTTTAAGCCAGCCATGTAAGCAAATTTATACCATTTGGGTTGTAACAGTTACAGTCTCACCCATTCAACAAGAATTAAGTGTGTTAATAATAGTACTGAATTTATGGTTTGCTATCATTATTGATCATAGGTTCTGTATTCAGGCACTCAATCTAATGACTTTGCAGGAATTTCCAACTATTCTTTGCCCAAAGAATGTTGCATGATGACTCTCCAACTAAAAGGAAGGCAGCATCAGCATTAGCTGAGACAAGAATGGCTTTAACATCATTGAAATCCTTTAAACGGCGTAATATTGCTAATGGACCAATACAAAGAGTTGGAGAAAGTGTTAGAAGTTCGGTACCTGGTGTGGTAAGACAACAGGCTGGCAACTATGACAATAGGCTACCAAACTCCAATGTAATGGTCAATGTGTATGAGGTAAGATTAGTATATCATTATCATCATTTGGATTTCTTGATATTGGTGTCGAAAGCTTAAAAGCTATGTTTCATTTAGGATGCTCCATCAACATCACAAGCAGCTATCCCTATTGCTGAAGATCCTGGTCCAGCATCACTGGTACAGGCTTGCAGCAATGTGGAAAATCAGAAAGAAGTAGGGGTTTGGACTAATCCCAAAACTAAAATGGTGCACACTAACATTGTGCCCCATCAACCTCTACCATTTACTCGTAAGTATTTGTTTATGATAAATATTATAAATTCATTGGTAAAAGACGTAAAATAAAAACAATTATGGCTGATTTATTTATGCAAATTTCTTTTTGCAGCCTATGAAGATGAAGATGATATTCTTCGGCTCCCAGCCAATCACATGCCTTATTGCATGGATAATTTATCATTTACTGTGCCTCTATGTGTACCTGATCCCCCAGATTCAACAAAAATTCCTTGTTATAATAAACCACAGGTTAGTACAAATTATTATTTCTTTAAAATGTGTTGTAACAGATCAGAATTAAAAATAAATATTCCCTTAGGTATATGTTGAAGACCAAGAATACAGTTTAGAAGAAATAAGATCTAGAAAATATAATTTAGAGAAAAATGTGAAGACTGAAAAAAATGAAGCTAAAGAGGTTCCACAAAATTTTGAAAATATTAATGAGACACTAGCTCAGTGCAGTGCTTTAGAAACATTAGCTAATTGTGCCCTGGACACAGAACAGGACCACTTAGGGCAATTAATGCCTTTGACTATGCCTACTTTACAAAACATCACAAAAGTAACCAACATGCATTCACCTGGTGAACCTAAGGTATTAGTTAACTTAGATTCACAGGAATTTAGTGAGCTCAGTGCTAAGAAAGGTGATGAGAATTATAAACCAACGTCTAGCATGTCTGACAAGGAAAATGATATGCATACCTCACCCAACAACAATTATGGCAATGAAAATGCTGTACCAAACTATGGCAAAAATAATCTGATGGAAGAGTTCAATAGGAGTCTGATGGGTAATCTGCTTGGCGATTCTGTAACAGTTAACACCAAAGAAGCTAGATGGGAACTGAGAAACCTTTTCAATGATAATGGTAATTATTAAATTGTTATTGATTTTTTTTTTAATAATTTATTGGTGTTTCATATTAATATTGTTCTTTTTCTTCAGAACCTTCTATAGTTCAGCCTGTAGTACAGCAATTCGAAGTTCCTAATTTCGATATTCATGAGGATAGATCCATTACAATGGCTATCAACACAAAAAAGAAACAAGAACTTACTGAAATGAAAACAGTGCCTCAAGACAAAGAAAATGCTTCCAAATATCAAGCACCTGTAAGTGCTGTGCAGCAAAATGTATGTTCAGACATAACTGTATCTATTATTTTCTTGTTTTATTTTAAAATAGATAGTTGATTTTCATTGGTTCATGTATTTACAGGTTAACAAGACTGCTTACTATGAGGAGCCTTCTTGCACACAAGTGTTCAATTTCAATATAAAAGATGCTAGTACACCAAACATGTCTCAATTTAAGAAGCCATCCTCATGTGTGGATCAGTCTGGAAAATTTCCATCTGTGCCGAAATTTAGTATGGACGAGAGTGTCATAGAGCATCATGACCCAGGACTGACTAAAAGAGAGGAAGTTTCGAGACAGCATGCTACTGACCAACATGCAACTGTTGATAATCAAGGTGCAGGTCTCTCTGTGATCATGGAAGCTACGAGGGAATATAACAGGTGTGTATCTATATGAAAAGTTTAAACCAGGGATATACTAGGGTGTCCTAAACATATTTTGCTTTCGATAACAGTAGCCAGACGTCGCTGCCGATATAATCTGGTTAAATTGCGCGAATCTTAATGTCGCATTGGAGAGACACCGCGATTTAGAGATAACTGGTTTGACACATAGTGTTATTCGTTTTGTGATATACTGCAGTCCCAAACTTACCCCATCCCTAATTTCTAAAGCTCCAATTCTCAACCTTTTTGGGGGAGAAGGATTCAAACACTTTTAGCAATGTATTTGATATGATCTAAATCTCTGTTGCAAGTACTCATGATATAACTAGCCTATTTTTCTATACATAAGGCTATGAACATTATGCCTCAAATTATTTATTATTAATCACCACAACTGTTATACTTTCAAGTGATTATGTAATGTAGTGAAGGCTTCTCATGCATCAAACCTGGCAAGTACTTAAGTGACTGTTTCTTAGTTATATAGACTTTCTGAGTATTTAAACACTACTAACTAATATTTTATTACACAATTTTTTCCTATTGTTATTGGTATTTATATACACTCAGAAAGCCTATATAACTTAGAAACAGTACCATAAGTACTTGCCAGGTTTCATGTATGAGAAACGGTCGCCGTAACCTCCGGGTCACCACAACCTACACTACATTACGTAATAACTTTAAAGTATAAAACAAAGTCGCTTTCTCTTTTCCTATATCCCTATGTATGCTTAAATTTTCAAAACCACCTAAAGGATTATGATATGGTTTACACAGAGTAATTAAAGAGGAAGGTTTTATGTATAACTAACTGACCTGGCAAACTTCGTTCCGCCTCAAAATTAAGTTTTCTAAGCTTTTAAACCTCCCCTGGACGTCCACGAATAATTCAAGACCAAAATCGGTAAAGGCATTGTTGAGTTATAATATTACAACGAAAAGTGGCATTGTTTTTTTATATAAATATATAGATAAAGATGACTTGCATTAAATAGCGGCGAAAATCATATCAGCATTGCAACCGTGCGTAGCTGGGGCGGATTGTGAATGTAAAAATAAATTTGTATCAACCCATTTGTTCTAAACCTGAAATCCGATATATTTAAAAATAAGTGATTAAGATTTCAGACTATAGCAATTATTCAATTATATTACCAAACCATTTGCCTGTATATTTAAAATGGGTTGTTTCCTTGTGGAATCATTATAAAACACTGCATATTTAATAAAATTCAATTTGTAATTTTTTCATGTCTTTTTAATGTGTCTAGTGTTGTATCCATCCAAGCATCTTTTCAAATCTTATAGGTACTTTAAAGCTGTAGTCTTTCTAAATGGGTTTATGTGTTACAACTGTGTAATATTATTAACTTAAATGAATCCTAATATAAAAGAATCCTAATCTAAAAACGGGTAGTGTTTAGCAGTGCTACTATGATAGTTTTATCATGGAGGACTTAAAATGTTCAGTATAGGGCTTTACGTTTTGTTGGAAGACTGGTGAGCAGTGCTATTTCCTACCACTTTACCAGTCAAACCCTCAAAAAGGTATGTGATAGTGCTGTACGGTTATAGGTGATGTGTCCAAGGTTAAAACCATCATGCTAACATGTTAGGGACATAATATATGGCCTGTAAAGGCAACTAATATATCTAGCGCATTATCACTAGAGCGAAATTTGACGTCACTGACGACGGTTCATGCGATATGCACAGCGAAAACGGTCAACTTATCGACATTGGTCTGCCTAGTGTATCCTTGGCTTTATCAATAAAATTAAAGATTCAATGAAACCAGTAAAGCTTTCATTTATTTCAGTAAATCGGGCTCTAGTTCATCTGGACAATCAACAAGAACCAACTTTACTGCCTACACAACAAACTATGATTCCATGTACAATAACAACGACCCATCACAACAACCTACGACATCAAAAAGAAGTTCTATATCTTCACAACCCAGATTGCTAAATGGACAGTTTTCGAGGACGCACCCTCAAAAACGAGAGTTGCCGGAAAATAAAAATGTGACGCCGTCTACTTCAGCGCCTTATCCATCGCACGACCATCAGTATCAAAAGCCTATGCCACAAAACTACAATGGGTACTCACCACAGCAACGGTCTATGCATGCACACTATCAGCAAAACTATAGTTATCAGCAGAACTATTCTAATAATCAGATGATGAGTCAGCAACCACAGCAAGGCTATGCTAGTCCTAGTTCCAACCCCTACCAGAGTCCACAGCATACTGGTATGCAAAGTCCTCATGCCATAGGCTCGAATGTTCCACCTGGTTTCCAAAGCCCAACCTACTCAAATCAAGTAGGCTATCATAGTCCAGGACATGCTATGATGAGTCCTCAACAAAATTATGCTGCTCGTCAAGATTATCACTATCCCAATCAGGCAGAGAGACAACATATTTATGTGAACCAGCACCAACAGCAACATCAGCAGCAACACCAGCAGCACCAACAGCAACACCAGCAGCAACAACACCAGCAGCAGCAACACCAACAACTGCAACAACAGCAACTGCAGCAACAGCAACTCCAGCAACACCAGCAGCAGCAACACCAGCAGCAGCAGCTCCAACAACAGCAACATCATCAGCAGCAGGCAGCTGTTTTCCAAAGTCCTCCGCACCAGACCCAGTATCAAAATGCTCAATTCTATCGGAGGCCTAGCCCAGCACCAGCTTCTGGTCCTGCACCTGCACCCACAAATCAAGCATACAACCAATCAGGCTACCACATGCATAATCAATACAATAACTCAAACATGTATTCAAATCATTCAAACAACCAAAGCTTTAATACAATGCAGAATCAATACAGGCAGCATTCTAAGCAAATGGTTGAAAACTCTCCAGCTGGTTATGGGTCTTCAAATAATCAGTCCTTCCAGATATATCAAAGTCCTCAGGCTCAGCAAAACAGTTATCGGAGCCCTGTATCTGTCTCTCAGAGTGCAAATGTTCCACCAGAGTCATCTGAAATGCATTCGAGACCAGAAAATGCCTCGGGTATAGATCAAAATTTGTCAAGTAAAAATAATAATATACCTAAAAATCAAGCTACACACAAGAGTCCAACATCGGCGCTGAGGAATATTAGACATGACCAACCTAATTCAGTGAAAATTGGCCAAAATTCACCAGATGTTGGCTTTTCGAACCAATATCTGAACTTCATTTCAAACAGAAATGAGCCCAAAGATAATGCTAATACTCCTAAGTTCACCAACAGCCCCAGCATTTCTCAAAAGATGCATAAGAACTTGTATGTATCCAGCCCTGAGCAGGCACAGATACCTCCCTCGTCAGGAATGTCTGATTCAGATAGTAAAGATGGCATGACAGCACAAACAGGAACACCTATTCAGTCTGCAAAGGTCTCCCATGCTGTCGACAAACAAAAAGACATCTCTAAGAGGCAGTTAGACTTCGAACACAGAGTTGAATTTCAATCTGAGGACAGTAGAGACTCTGTGAGCAAAGAAAGCAGGATTTCCAGAGTTTATTCCAGACAATCTGACTTACAATCTGATGGATATGGTATGGATGTGGATAGTGAAAATTCCATGGAGTGTGCCGCATTTAAATCTACTCATTCGATTTCCTTAGTAGAAACTAGTGACTTACCTAGACCTGCTGATATTGAATTCCCGGCATTAATTGATCCATTTAGTAAAAAGCTTCTGAGTTCTTTATTAGATTATGTAAAATTCCCAAACAAAACTCACGCAGATGGATATGTTGAAGTTAGAAGTGTTCCTAAGCTACAGCTAGCAACTGTTATAAGTGTTGGAAATAGTAAATTATCTATTGACAAGCAACTTGGCAAAGGAAATTACGGCGCAGTTTTTCTATGCCTTGATTTACATAATAATAAATCAGTTGCTGCTAAATATCAGAAACCAAGTCGGCCTTGGGAATTCTACATTTGCCAGGAAATAAAGGCAAGAATAAAGGATCCATTCATGGTAAGATTTAACTTTTTTCTTGTAGTAATGTTTATTTAGATTACAAAAAATATTTTACTAACGTTTTGACACAGCTTCCAGGGTACATGGATATCTCAACAGCTTTCATAGGTGACAATGCAAGCTTATTTTTGTCTGAATATTCCAAATATGGATCTCTCTTAGACGTCGCTAATAAGATAAGAGCTGCTACCTCAAAATGTATAAATGAATTTATCGTCATCTTATTGACATCAGAGATGTTGTCGATAATTCACTATCTGCATAAAGCGCAGATCATTCATGCTGATATCAAGCCAGACAACTTTTTGTTGATGAAAATGTAAGTATAGCGTAAACTAAAACACACTTTTTCTAGTCTCAATTTAATTACAATCCAAATTCATGAGGCTAATAATTAACAGAATCTGATATTATTCAATTAAACAAATGAATATTTATTTTATTTTCAGACCCACACAGGAGTGGAGAACTCCATCCCTCCAGTTGATTGATCTTGGCTGTGCTATTGATATGTCCCTGTTTCCAGAGGGCACTACATTTAGAGAGGTTAGTAATTTTTTTCTGTAAACATTATGATTTTAAAATGAAATATATTTAGAAAAGGATATTTTATTTCATATTTCGTAAAGATTAGTATTAAATGTTATACGCACGGTGGGTGTATTTCATTACATTAACAAACTGGAATACACCAAAACCATTTTATTCCAAATCATATTTATAATTTCATATTCAATATGCATACCACCTAAGTATTTGTGCTGTTGGCAAGCAATGTGTTGATCAGTATGATTATTTTGGATTACTGCAAATAATTAAAATTAATTGAGCTATTAGTAATATATGAAATAAAATCAAAGTTAACATAGAACATTTTTTTTTCTTGCAGTTGATAGCGACAGAAGGTTTTACATGTACTGAAATGAGAGAAGGCAAACCTTGGACTTATCAAACTGATCTGTACTGTTTAGCTGGTACTATTCATGTGATTTTAATGGGCAGTTATATGAAAGTAGCTAATCGTTTAGGTCAATGGAATATAGATAAGAAACTGCCAAGGTGAGTTGGTATAACTTAATACCTTAGAAAACATTTTCTAATAGTTGCAAGTGTGTTACTCAAATTAATTGGTATATTTTTTCGATATTCGAACTTTAGTCAAAATTTGTAGTTTATAAGTAAATTGGATAGCCCCTTAATACACGGGAAAACATAACTTCCATTGGAGAGTAGTATTAAAAAGCATTATAACACACTTACAACTCTTCTGATCTTGCGGTGCTGATTGCTTACCATCAGGTGAGCGTTCAAGACCGTTCTGGACCATAAAAAAGAATTTATACTGACTGAAGTTTGTTTTTTAGATACATGAAGGTTGGCTTATGGGACAAGATATTCACAACACTACTAAATGTTCCGGATTGTAACAATTTACCTGATTTAATGGAACTGAAAAATGAAGTTGACAGTGTATTGAACGAAATTGACAATCTAGGTTCTCAGCTCCGTAATTTCGCTAACGTGCTTAAATCTAGGTAAATTATGTAAACAATCCAGATTGTATGTATTTATTGCATTTAGATTTAAAGGCGATTGTAAAAACTAGATACCTAAATATGTATTATTATAGTGATACAAAATATAACAAAGTTCAATGAACTTCTTGAATCTTTTGCCAGGTGAACTTTGCTCTTCTTAAAAGCAATAAGTATTAAATATACCAGAATCTTATAATTTAGTTTGTAAACTTTTACATAAAATACATGCCTTGTTGTGTTTAGTTAAAATGTGATATTGTAATTTTGAGGTTTTTTGTTTTGTAATGAAATTGGCTTAGATTAACTTGTTAGCTTAAAACTAATGTTGAATATACTTAGGTTCATTTATTTTTGTAAAACCCACAAGACTTGCACATTTCACATTTCTTGTTTGAATTGTAACAAAGATAATAAATAATTACCTGGTTGATTTTTAGTTTTAATATGTCCTTAAGGCGAACCTACAAATAATGCGCCTGCGCAGTGTGCACTTTACCTATAGTTGAGTAATGGAAGTGTGACTGAACGAATCCTGACGAGTCCTGAGTAGAGTGGAATAAAATAATCAGTGGTACTGAATGTGTTAAAAAGTTGGGACCTACACCCCAGCAGTACTTACCTGCAACACGATGTAGCATATGGTGGTGGTGTGCATTAATCGGCAGTGGCGATTTATTGCTGGTCGAGGCACTGGTGCGGAGCGAGAGGAACTTAGAAAATGTCTCTTCTTTCTACAAAGCAGTGTTGCTTGCAAAGAATTAGGCGGAGCACTTGAGGGAACTATCCTATTCACCCCAGTAGGAGATACTCCGGGCGAGGGGATCGCATGACGATTTTCCGCCATTGCAAGCGCGGGTCTGAAGATAGCAAGTAAGGTTAGCTCGCCGCCCCCACAGAACCCTAGGCTTGAGGTGCGTAGTGTTCCGTGCTCACCTCAGACCCAATAGACCACCACATAGTGGGTAGAAGGTATAGGGTGGTTTTAGTTAGTAAGAGTTTGAGCCTCCCCTAGCCCCACCCTGGGTTACAATGACCACCAGTAAGGCCAGGTAAACAAGGTACTTACAAGAAAACCCTATATGTTTTCATATAAGGTATTTGTGAACTAGTGAATACAAAGATCAAACTGAATCTTCAATAAAATAACAGTATAATAAGTTGTCAACAATGTTTATTATCTCGTAACAATATAATTATTGTTTATAATCACATTATTTGGACAATTTTTCAAGTCTCTGCTTCTTTCTTTCTTGATATTCTTGAACATTATCAAATTTTCTTTTATACAAAACTTTTATAGATTCTAACAGACTTTCTTCTGTGTCACAATTAATATTTTTGTCTGCAAACATGTTAATTGTATTTGTTTCTTCAACAGATACACTTCCATTATTTTCTTCCAACTTATATGCAATAACAGTATTCTCTGAATCACTATAAACAAAAAGAGACTTATTGTGAAGCATTATTGCACCAGGAAATTGTTGTAGTCTAATTCGTTCTTCCAATTTGTGACTGTATTGGTTGTCAACATTAGTAACAGTGTAAATAAGAACTGCATTATATGTGTGTACAGTTGCAGCCATTACACTCATATTTTCATTTATCTTAGATGCTGTATAATGCACAATCGGCAAAGTATTAACTTCAATACCTCCTTCATCCATAATATTTATGAAATTTTGTCTTAATTGATCATCACGGACATCATGTGAAGTGTCAATTGTATGCACCAACCTCCCTTCACTATAATCCCAGATTTTGATAGTGCCATCTCCTGAGGAACTGGTCAAGAACTTATCATTGTGAGGCAAAAATTCTAAGTGATTGACAAATTCTTTGTGGCCCAAACAATATGTTTGAATGTTGTAGGTATTGGGATAGCAAGAAACCCTAATTTTTTCGTCTCTATCGCACGAGATGATACATTTTGTATCATTTGATTGTAAAACATCCAGTAGTAAACTTAAGTGACCTAGAAGTTTTATACCTGATTCTTCTTTTTTTATGTCATAAATAAGCACGTCTCCACTTTTATCAGCCACCAGTATCTGCATATTATCAACTGTGAATCTTATTCTACTGGCACTTCTTGGTATGTTAAAAGTTTGCTCAAGTTCTGCTTGAGGCAAGCCATAAATTAGCAATTTCTTTGAAGTTGTTGTTATGACAGCTAAATGATTAGAATCGTAAGAAATTGCAATATCAGATATATAATCTTTTTCAGATTGATTCGGAGTTCCAGGTACATCAATAATCTTATGGTTGGTATGGTCATACAAGTCAACATTAAGTTCTTTCGCTACTGCGAGATATTTATCTGTTGCTGTTAGCAGTGACATTGCTTCAGTTTTGTTTTTACAATTCAATTCAATGTGATAACGCTTGCATATGTAATAGGTAAGGCACTAATAGATTTTTTACATTAAACAAACTGAAACTGAAAGATAACTTCAGCTTTTGTTGAGGTTAAGTTTGATTCTATCTCGATTCGTTCATTGTTCATGCGTGTTGCTCGATTTTATTTTATTTAAATGTCATTTGACGTCTGCAGTCTTGGACTCTATCCCTTTTGGAATCACATTTTTTAATTAAAATGGCGTAAAATAATGTTGCTTCACTGTATTGAAATTTTTATTTATTTATTATAATTGAGAAGCATAAGCTGTTTTTTATAGTTTTAAGAATAAGCCAAGAGTAAAATGCCGTGGGTTGTGGCCGGATATCCTCGCGCAATCCCTCATGCTCGTAGTGCCCCCTACGGATGCCAGAGCGTAAGGAGAGGCGTGATACCTTGGAGTAAAAAAGCAGTTCGGAGCAGGTAACAGGTAGGCTGAGAAAAAAAATAACAAATAAGTAGGTATTGTAAGTTTCAAAACGTACTTTTGAAATGCCAAAATATTTAACGTGGAACGTAGTGAAAATGACAGATGTCACTGTCACTTGGTGTGATTTTGGATACCTACATTGGTGAATTCTTATTGAAAAACAATTAATGAATTCGATTCATTTGTAATAAAAAGCATACTTACGCTATTGTTTCAACTATCTATAGTCTCTGTGAAAAATAAGCCATGGCTGCTATGATAAGTTCATGGAATCCGGAAAAGAAACACAGCGACGTGGAAAGGTAAGTAGCTGAAGTTGACTCGAAAAATGAAATTAAGCTATATATTTAAGTTGAAAAATGAAATTAAGCTATACATTTAAGTTATCAGTATCTAAGATCCCAAATTTAATATTAAACTACTAAACGAAATTAATGTACATTGAAATTGGAAATCACAGTAATAATGAAAAGAAACATTGTCGCATTTACAGATGGATTTGTATTTACCCTGCATACTTAAACAGTAAGAAGACTTTAGCACAGGGACGTAAGCTGTCGAAGTCGCACTGTGTGGAAAACCCAACTCACCAGGAGATTAGAGATGTCTTGGTTGCTGCAGGCTTGAGGGTCGGAGTGGAGAATAAGTTATATCCCAGGGAACCTAGTAAAGTAATTGCTCTACATTTCATGTTTACTTTTTTTGACTTTATGTATGTAGTGGCAGAAAATCTTATACAACAATCAATGCTGCTGTCTATCAGGATGTGGAGCTTCAGTTTCTAAGTTTAGTAATAATCTTTTTAAGTAAACTATGTTTGCATAACAAATCAAAACAATGCTACCTGAAAAGTAGTTTGAAGTTAGTTAATTCTAGGTTACATACATTATTCATATGAAAGTAGTGCAAACATTGTTAACCTTTAGTTGATTTACTGAAAGTTTAATAGAGAGATATAATATAGACATGTAAAATTGATTGAAATTCTACATCAAGCAGATCTACATTATGAATTCTTCAGTTTACTACAATACTATAGTATTGTATATGTATATATTAATTGTACCTAGTATGTACAATACTATAGTAGTATAGTATATTTATTTTGATATTTTTTAGTATGTATATAAAAAATAAAATTTGAAGTTTACAATTTATTTAGGGTGTTTAATTGTTTACTTCACAGGAAATTTTGTACAGAGGTAGAATTAGAGTGCAATTGAAGAATGATGATGGCACTCCTGTTAAACCTGAGTTCCCCACTCGTGAAGCTGTTATGAAACATATTGGTGAATCAATACCTAAGCTGAAAACAAGACAAAACCGGTAATTATTTTATTATTTATTGAATCGGCACAAGTATTTGTTTGCAGCCTTGCAGGCAAAACAACAAAATAGCAATTATAAGAGCAAAGTAATCCATTCCTTAGAGGCATGCTATTTACCACATAAATATGTTATTTAGTAATATAATATGTAATAGTAATAGAATGCTTTTCAGGAATGCAAAAGGAATCCTATATGTATTAGTAAGAAGAGTTCATATTTCCTTACCTTTATCAAATTCTTTACTGATTGTATGCAAAAAAAACCATTTTCAATGTAAAATATAATAATTAATTACTTTGTTTCACAAGTTGTAATTACAGTTTATTCGAGAACCAATGCAATATCAAGATATTTTAAAAAATAATAATGAACTTTCTAATTTAGAAAAATCATTATGTATAAAAAAAACTTTATTTTTGTATATTAAGCAATTTATTACCTTACACAAAACAGTAAGTAGTACGAAACTCTTATCAATTGGAAACATCCCTCTTGCTACTCTTGCTCAGAGCCCAAACCGCAGTATAGCATTTTGCTTGCAATGGCAACTCCAACCGGGACGTCGGCCTTAGTTGTCTCCACCTCTGGCAGTGTCACAAGTTGTTGAGGCGCGTTTAGAACACGTCTGGTTATAGTCGGGCGACGAGGTCACCCTTGATCACCGAATGTGGTCAAAACAGACGAAATGCATGTAAGCACAATAAACTAATTGTTCTTTTATGCATTTCGTCGCCTTTTTTTGTGAGTATTATTGCTTCATAGAAGGAGGAGATGGTTCCCCAGTTCCTCCACCACAGTCTAGACCGAGGCTAGGCGCGAATAGTTGCCGCCTCCGCGTCGCTTCACTGAGACGCGGCGGTGTTCAGCCCAAGCAGGCATAGAGCCACAATATGATCCACCATGTCCTCCGGGTTCTTCCACTGCATTAAGTGTATTTATGCGGCACGGGTTTTGGCCGATGGGTTTGTTACAGATACGCAATATAGCATGATCTAAATTACTTTATTCTGAACATGTCAAATATATTCTTACCTAAACAGTTATGCGTTAATTTAAGTTTGTATAGAAACTGGAAATTGTCGCTGTATTATTGATACACTGCATATAAGTGCTAAAATTCATAAAAATCGTTTCTGTAGTTACTATGATTTTTACCTTGAAAGTTTTTGTGAAAACCTGTGCCGTGTAAAGGCTCTAGGAATTACAATAATTAATTATCAATATCTAGTTGATGCCTTATATTACATTACATAGAGTACAGTAAAACTGCTGACTTCTATTAGTCTCGGTCAATCATGTACTGACTGTCTGTAGTCTCAAAAGTCATATTAGTTTGTATATTTGGCTATAACAAGATTTTATATGGAGTTTATTTCAAACTTAATAGAACCAAATCTATTTGATGAATTATTGCTAATGGATGTTATTGTACAAGGCACTATCTTTGTCGCGGGAATCGAACCTGCGACAACCATGCATCTTAAAGTAAATACATTTATCGAAAAAATATGTTTTTGTTTTCAGACCTGTGGATCAGCAGCCTCAAGCAGCACAGGCCAGCCACAAAGGCAAGGGAAAGAAAGGACGCAGATAAATTTATTGTTTTATTACAAAATACTTATTTGTACAAAAATCTTATCTATTTCTAATATAACAATTTCACAAAATAAAGTCTTTGTTTATTATTTACTAGCACTAAGAATGTAAACGAATAGACTTTTCAGAGAATTTGTTCTCACCGTTTTTATGTCTAGCTATGCTGTAACCATCATAAATCATAACAACTGGAGCCTTTTTCTTTGGAGTACTTGATTTAATTGCTAAGTTCAAGCTATCTATTAACGTCATTCCTTCATTTCCTTTACGAATTTTTTGATCTTCTGCGGCAATTGAGCCACCTCCGTCAGCGACTCCTTTATGACTGGCGATATCGTGTGTGACATTGATGCTTTCTTCATGTACTTCTTTGGATTGTACTGGCTCTGTGGTTTGGTTAATATTTTCGGAGGTAAATCCTCGTAATCTTCGAAGAGATTCTTGTAGAATTCTTCCGCCCTTTGTTTCGTTTCTTCCAATTTCGAATTGATTTTCTCGAAGGCCGTCATAGGTGGTCTCAGTTTTCGTGTCGTTTTCATTTTCACTATTGGTTCCACTTCCTCGCTGTATAAGTCCTGTATTACGTCGAGTTCCGAAAGGTCCTGCGAGTCCAGAGCTTCTTGCACCGTCTCGTGTATCACGCTCGGTATTCTTTTCACCATCTTCTGCACAGGAGTCATTTTCCGCGCATCGGGGAACATGTTCATTATTTCTATGATGCCTGGTGATATTTCCCTTAACGTTTCCGTGAAGTGTGGCGCTGCTTCCCTCACAGATTCCATTATCGTTTCGCCGACCGCTACAGGTATCTCTTGCAAGTAATACGGGTACGTCCTTATTCCGTCTGATAATGCTGAAGTCACGAGTGGTAATATTATCGGTTGTGGTGGAGGTAGCCGTGGTAGTGGAGGGAGTCTCGGCAGTAATCGAGACCTCAGTGGTGGCAGTCGGGGTAACAGTAATTGTCTCTTTTTTCGGATTTGTTTTTGATAATCCAGGTTTGGATTGTTCTGCAGTAGAGATGTTCTCGAAACTTTCTTCAGAGTAGAATCGATGTCGCTTAAACTTCTTTGTTTTGACTTCGTAAGACTCGCTTGCGTCTGAATTGAGAAGATTATCAAACAACATACTAAGGCTTTTGAGAAGCGGGATATATTTTTGTTTGAGCTTTTCATTTCCATTAACCTCACGTTTCGTAGACTGATTCTTACGTTTGTATCGAGATTTTTGTAGGAGCTTAAACTTTTTTGGTTTAAGTGGACTTTTGATCAGATAAGCCTTTTTGTATTTCAGTGGTGACAGTATGCTCCCTTCGAATGGTTTATTAACTGAAAAGTTAAAAAAGTATCTAGTTAAGTATATGCAAATACATATATTTAAACATGTGGTGTACCTACTTACTTACCTATAGATAAACCGGAGTCTAAAATTTGTTTTATCCTTGCAAAAGGCTTTGGTGATTTAATAAGCGAGTAACGTTTGCGGTTGATTACTGAAACAAAAGAAAACTGTTATTAATACGTGGTACAATCAAGACAGTATGAAAAATATGAAGATGAAGCTCCCTAATAAAGTGCTATGAAATAACGTATCTCTTTAAACCATAGTTAGGTAATTTTCAACCATAAAAAAAGAGTGCGTAGTGCGAGTGGGTTTTACTTACACGCTTCAAGTTAAGTTTTATATAAAAGCATGAGTGACGAAAAATAACAAAAAAAAATATAAAAAATATAAAATATCTAATTGTAGGTCTAAGAAATTACATAATATAAATAGGTGTGTAATAACCTATGTAGTAAAAAGGTTGTAACTGATACTTGATCTAATTTGGGTAGAAGTTTATTTACTTAGAAAATTAATGTTTATGGCCAAGCTAATTTTTTACAGCGTATTCATTATTTACGAACACCATCGCTATATTGTGCCTCGTTCGGTTACGTGATTGCGGAGCCTGAGTGTAGTCATACTTACTTATAGATCTTTTTCACTGGTCGTATCGTAAGTTACATGGGATTGAGGAAGTTACCAAATAAGTACTAGGCATACTTTCAGACTGCGTACCTAGTTCTGTTCAAAAACACAATAACACCGCCCAACCCAGGAATCGAACCCAGGACCTTCGACTACTTCACCAAAGAGGCAGTCTGAGGCAGTTCAGTGGATTTTTAGAAAGTTTTTAAAAATCTCTGTGATAACGTGGAGTTTATATTACGCCGATTTATTGTTCATTAATTATAATATTTGAAAGGTATTCTACTTCTCCTTTTTTAATTGTCATGTAACAGTATTTACAAATATACTTACATAGGTATCTATCTACTTACAATTTCACCTACACATCACAATATTGATCGCATAACGAGTTATTCCGTGCGGGAATCGAACCCGGTTGTTTCGTGATTATACAGAAAAAGGATAGTAACAGAAAAAGGTAAGGTTACCTATAGTAAATACAAATTTAGTTCACGGTCACTGGTCAATGTGTTGGTGCAATCTGGTGACGATTTATCTACGCGTTATCGCTTAGTAGCACGTATATTAATTTCTCATTAAGTATTTTCTTATTTTTTTTAATTCGTTAGTTACACTGAGATCACGAGAGCTTTACATATATCGGATTACCCGATGGTAAGCAATCAGCGCCGCACGTAGACAGCGGCAACAACGGTAGAGTTACATACGAGTGCGTTCGACCTTTTGGGATTGAGGAGAGATTGGGGGAGAGGAAGGATTCAATTAAATCAGATAAGTCCATGCAAATTTAAGACGTTATTAAAACTATCTATGTAAAGATCACTTAGTTGTTTAAGTGTGTGCAATGTTTCGGCACGAATGGGTCGGCTTGACCGGAGCGATACCACGGTCTCACAGATAACCGGCCTGAAACATCAATAGCACTGTGTTTTGCCGTGTGAGTGAGGTTACTGGAGGCCAAATCCTTCACCTCCTTCAATCCCTAAAACAAATCCCTAATCCCTAAAAGTTCGGCAACGCACTCATAACTCCGCTGTTGCTAGTGCCAATGGGCGGCGCTGATTGCTTCATCATCATCATCATCATCATTATCAGCCCATAAGTGCCCACTGCTGAGCAAAGACCTCTTCTCATACGGAGAAGGTTAGAGCATTGATCACCACGCTTGCTCAATGCGGGTTGGCGATTTCAAACTTATAATTAGAAATTAAGTCCAGGTTTCCTCACGATGTTTACCTTCACCGTATGTCAGTGGTGTCTAAATAATCATAGAAAGTACATATAACTCGGAAAAAGTCACATTAGTACTTGCCAAGTTTCGAACCCACACCCTCATACATGAGAAGTGGGCTCCTTAACCTCCGGGCCACCAGGACATTCATGCGCTGATTGCTTACCGTCAGATAATCTGTCTGCTCGTTTGACGTCCTATCACATAAAAAAATCTTACCTGCTGGTTTAGGCGGAAATGTTGTCTCGAAGGATTCCTTCTCCTGCAAGTCTGCGGCAATCAGCTCGTTCAAGGAAATAGTTTTCGCTTCCAGATCTGAAATCATAATGTAATATTAGTTTTAATTTATTTACTTAATAGTTGGTTGAAATGGTCACATTTCTATAGATTTTAATGTTTTTGGGATAAAGTTCAAAATCGATTGATAAAATTTTGGTGGTAAAAAATACTAAAGGTTCACGCGAAATTAACACTTACACTTAATAAACACAAAGTTAAAAATCATGTAATAGTGCCATATTCGGAATTCCATTTTCTGACATTTTTATTTGTTATTGAAGCGACTCGTTTAATTACGTGCTATATTTACGATGCACTTATATTTATAAATTATTTCTGCAAATGCTGATGCAGGAAGCACCATCGGCACGTTTCCATTGAATCGACGTCAGTGAAACCTACATTAGCAATTTATGTATTGTTTATGACACCTACCTACTGCCGCAAACAAACATCCGTGTTGCGTCACAGACGTCCGTCTGTTTGTGGCAGTAATCTTTAAGTCAAAAAATATTCTTTCAATTAAACTTCTTGCAGAAACTTTTGACACGTCATATTATAATTACTAATCCTACAATGTGTTTTTTTAATATTTCAAACTATGTATATTGCTTACCTTATCCATTCTCGTCATAATTATCACATATTGGTCTCAGAATTATTAACTGCATGAAAACAATTTTCATCCATTTATGCGATTTATCTCACCACATACCTACCTACACAGTTTGAGCATGAACCAACAGATAGCGCATTCATACAGTTAAGTGTCTGTTTGCTTTGCATAAATACTTTCGTTCGACTGGTGGGCCCACTAGGCCCGGGATGAGCACCAAACCTGTCCAGAAGATTGAAGATACCCACTTCTTAAAGAGCATTAAAAATCCGTTTTCTATATGCCAGTATTGGTATCCGTGAAGGGAAACTAGAAAAGAACAAGACGGTAACGTTGGAGTATAATGGAAACAGTACATCGAGTCATTACGAATGTACTAAGACGTGTCTTACTTTCGAGCACGTACTTATTTACTCATATTGTACGGTATGTGCCTCTATCACAAATAATATATTTTGTATTAAAGATGTCACTGATATTATTTGTATTTACGTGTATTTTCGTGCGTATTACTATTAAGTTTAAGCATTACGTAGGTACTTACTAATTTAATATGACAGCAGATATGTAGGTATATCAGACTGAATGTACTAGCAAGTGTAAGCATTTATAAACGTTGATAAAATGCTGATACGCTGTTCCCGCCTAGCGTAAAAGCATCGATCACTAATAATCTTTATTAGTGATCGATGCGTAAAAGTTATTTAAATGATCTCTGTTTAAAATGACCAAACTATTTTTATTATGTTGCCAATTATATTATGAAACCTTTGCACTTACTCCGGAGGATAGCCTGTTGTAATTGATGCGGGTGTAAGAATACTGTTTTTTATTTAATTTCTATGTGTCATAGTTTGATACTTTTTGACTGCACGGTTGGTGTGGTCACTGCGCAACTGGCTGACGTGTAACGTGTGCGGGTTCAATTCTCGCACGGAACAACTCTTTTTGTGATCTACAAGTTGTTGTTTCGGGTCTGGTTGTGATGTGTATGTGTAATTGTTAGTTTAACCCACGACACAGGAGAAAGTTTTATTGTGGGGCACCGTTAAAACATTTTACCCTTGTAAACTATACAGGTAGGCAGAAATCCTATCCCCTACTTTCCTTACATACGTATTTCACTTCATCTTCTTTTATTTATACCATACCTACTTTGCTTCTTTGACACAACGTATTCATATTTCATTATTCTTCTACTTCCTAATGAGCCAGGGATTCCTGTAAAGTAAAATTGTTACAGTCATTTTTTTATTAAGTGTGGGAGAGCTAAGTTTCGGCCCGAATGGGTCGGCTCGACCGGAGTGATACCACGGCCTCAAGGAAAAGGGCGTGATACAACCACAGCGTTGTGTTTAGCCGTGTGATTGAGGATACTGGAGGGCTAAACTCTCCACCTCCCCGCATCTCAGCAACGCACGCATCCGAAAAGGCCGACAACGCACTCGTATCTCCTTTGGTGTTGCAAGTATCCATGGACGGCGCTGATTGGTTACCATCAGGTAATCCGTCGGATTGTTTGCCGAAAATTAAAATAAGTTACCGGATCTATCCATCTTCCATTTCCCCAATCCCTAAATCTAAGAAACCCTAATCCCCAAATGCCGACAACGCACTCGAAACTCCTCTGATGTTGCGGGTGTCCATGGACATGTCTTAATTTCTTTATTGCTTACCATCAGGTGTTCCTTCTGCTAGTTTACTTACCTATAACATAAAAAGAAGAATAAAAAGAGAGGATAACTCAAATTTTGAAAAAAAAATATTTTGAAATTTGAGTTGTACCTACCTTCGATACTGTGTAATCATTACTCAGTGTTTTAAAGTTTTCTTCTTTAGTTACAATCAGATAAATTGTTATTAAAATATTAAAAAAAATAAAGTACATAGGGTACTTATGAGGTAATTCTTTTGGACCCGAAAAATAGTTTTAAATTGACTTCCAAATTTAAATATAGAACAAAGTGTTTCTTTTTTCTGTTCTCGTATTTTTCCATTTTTCAAGTTTTCAAATTGTCATTACAATTTTAAATACAATTGATAATTTAATATTTTACTTCATCAAACGTTGGCCATGACTAACAACAAATCTAATACAAATGGATAATATTAGCAACATTTTACTGCTGTATAACAGTAATGACGCTGAATATCGAAGGCAAGTCATAAACGTAAAAATTATGACGATTTATTAGAACTCACTTCATCGCACATGTGTCGTGAAAGTGTTTGATATTTTTTAAAAGTGCTACAACTGTTATTTGCAGGTTACGGGGATAAATTATCGCATAAAATTGTAAATAATGGCTCTTTTATATCTAATATTTCGATAAATAATAAAACAAGGGCAGTAAAACAAAGGAGTTGCTGCAGGGTCGGGTATCGTTAAAATATTACGATCGTCCAATATCGAGGGATGAAATCTTTAATCGTATAGATCCGAGTTTTACGTGGAACGAAAGTGGGCTCTGGCGGTCGGAACAAAATAGTTAGATAAGTCCAACAACTTATAGCCGAATAAATCATATTCCCTAATGCAATAAAACTAATCGAGCTTATAATATTTGAAGGTTCACATAATTTGGCACTTCACGTCTTTTTCATTATTGGTATCGTCTTTCATTCTGGTCAATAAGTATGTTAGGTGTTTCAAAAGTATTTCGAAAATAATTATCAATTATCTGACTAGGACATAGCTCAATTTAAACCTCGCTTGTAAACCTACTTAGATTTTTCAAAGAAGAAGGATCCACTCGCTAGGATTCAAAGCGTTCCATCACTTTCTTTATTTGAGTTTGCGAGGCAGGGAACGTACGGGGCCTCTCACCCAATTTATAATATAAATGGGGTTTATGATTTGAATTTATATAATAAGTGGGGTTGAAGGGCGCGTCTGTGTTATCAAGGTGAACGATGGTGTTTATTCTCAAGTGATTTCCTAACGTTTATTAAAAAAAAAACTAGATAAGTACCTATAGCATTTTAAAGTATACAACTTATGCCATTTTTTTGTCTTCTATAGCGTTGGGCCATACTAGGATTTTTTCTTGTGTCGTGGGTGCGTTTACATACGTAAACTCTCACAATACAGGAGAACGCACAACACAAATTAACATACACAAGCCCCCCAGACCCGGAACAACAATTTGTGGATCACACAAAGTATTGTTCCGCGCGGGAACCGAACCCGCGATACGTTGCACAGCCAGCCACTGCGCCAACCGTGCAATCGTAATGCCTGTACTAATGTACTAATGAGTACATTGTAGGCATTAGACGTGACATGTAACATATACACCTAATAATTAATTGTAATGCTAATTATTTCAATTTTTGTTTATTTACTAACTAAAATACATTTCATGAAGCCAAACCTCCGCTTTATTAAAACTTATCAACGCTGTTTTATGTGTATTTATTTCAGTAGTCGGTATTTTACTGTGCGGTTGATAAAATGTTCGTTTTATTTGTACCCAAATCGGAAGGCCGGTCGCGGCTCGAACGCTAGTGGTCGGTTACTTCCTCAATTTACGAGCGTACATAGCCCGGAGTTAGTATCGTTGTCGTCACGCTTCGTATATCGTGCATTTATATTTCAACCAATAAACATTACTTACTATTTGCTACGAATATTCGCCGATACTCGGGTACTTACTTTTTATTCATTTAAGCCGAGGCAGAGCTACAGTAGCTTGGAGTCACAATTATTTCGGGTAACTCGATTTGGAAGATGCAGAAGTTAATTCTAGAATTTTGTGCTGCTTTTTAGAGAATTTAAACAGCAAAAGATTACTAAACGGACTTTGAAGTTAAAATTCTTTATTGAAAAATATAGAAGTTTAAAAGAGCTCCCTTTTATATTACCTAAACATTTTCATGGTATTCTTTTCATCGGCTATTTTCAGTATGATGTCGAAATTCGCAATTTGAACGGAGTATATCGAGTGCACTGTATCTAAACAAGCTGAACCGCCTTCCAGAGCGCCTTACCACTGTAGCGATAAACGGATTTGGGCGGGTTGGCATTATTCCGCCGTAATAGAGTGATACTTCTTTAGGACCATTCAGGAAACTGATGACACTATTTGCTTTTCCCATAAAAAGTTATGATATCATATTTGTGGTATCAAAATATTACTTACAAATAATGCTTTCGCTGTTGGTAGCTTTTGATAATAATTTGTTTTTTGTAGTTTCTCTCAAGTAAATATTTCCGCTGACAACTTTAATAACATTAGTTGTTACTTTTATTCGTTGAGTATTTGCTTTTGTTATAGAAACGCCAACCATCGGCACTAAATTATTCATGAGTCTTGTTTGCTTAAGTTTTTCTTACGTCAGCTATATACTTCCATAAATGCGTGACAAAACATCGATGCTACTGATAAACAAAAGAAGAAAGGACGTTGATTTTACATTAGAATGTGTCATCGCGTTGTTGCGACTAAGGGCTACCCGGATTGTACAATATTGTTCAGCGTGTAGGGATAATATAGAAACATTGCGCAATGATTGAATTAAAGATTGAGCGAACTCAATTTTTATTGTGCAATATTTTTCGCTTGCACGGCTTAACATTGTGCAATATTTATCATTTTAATTTTCGGATCGATCGAGATCGGTCGATCAGTGTGTTACCTGTATATTTTTACCTCCTATTTAGTTACAAAGACCGAGGGTTTGTAGTTGAGAATAACATATCTAGCTTTATAGAAAAAGAAAATAAAGTGTAAAATTGTACAACAAAAAGATTGTGCAATATTATTGTAGGTGTATGGGGCCCCTAAGTCTACTGAGACGTGTTCGCCGGGTGGCTATCGGTATCGTTTTCCTAGTCAGTTTAAAACAAAGCAATGGAACTGAACTGGCAATAGGGAGCTGGCATATTGCCTCAGTTCCAAGTTTTACTGCCGCTATCTCAGGGTTTATGCCTTATAAAATCTGCTGCCGCGGCCACGCAGAATTGCCGCAAGCAAAAGTATGACTGGCGAATAGATATTATCGCAATTCATAGGTAGTATTGTTCAATGGTGAACTGCTTGTATTTTAGGACCTTATTTTACTTTCATTCTTCAAGTTCTTGACAAGTTTACGATTTTGTTTTCTATGTATTAGATATGTAGAAATATTTCAATTGCAACTTTTAACTAGAAGTACCAATTTAAATATTTACCTATATTATTACCATACCTATATTTTGTTTGTTCTTTCCTTTCACGGGACCACAGGATCCCGGACCTTTGGAAGGCGTACGAGGAGCCGAAGCCAACTCGCAGAGGCCCGTTGAACAATTTTAATCTAAATGTGATGGGACATCAGCCGGCAATTATCCCTGTATGCACTTAGCACTATATAAGTTCACCCAAGGACAATCCCCGGTTGATGCAAGACTATTGTGAAATGTGGTAAAAATTGATAGGGTTATGAATATGGGTTGCTATGGACTGGTGGATATGATAACTATGGAAATACTATGGCCCCTGCCCCTGACCAATATTGATACATACGGATAAACAGGCAGGGGGTGACTGGCAAACTCAATTAATGGGCCCCCGGAAACGGCCGCTAGCATGCAGCGACACGGAGGCAACATACGTTGAGCTGCTTGGGGAAGGAGAGGCATCCCACGGCTATCAGAGCAATCCCGGAAGTACGGTCAAGACCCCTACCAGCACCTTACTGAGATACATCCTTCCCCCGAGTCTCCTTCAACTCCTACTCTTGCGAATCTCCACTCAAGCCAGCCAATTAAGGCAAGAATGAGGTAGGAGGGCTTGTTCTTCATCAGTGTTCACTCCAGCTCGTCACGAGGACTATTACCATACCTATATTATTATTATGTGTTTATTAAATAAAGAACTTATCGTTTGTAAGATTTCGATAACTATAGATTTGAATAATTGTTTACATAAATCAACACTTTTTCACGGTTTAAAAAACAAGTAGATATAAATAGTCATTGTTGACGTACTATACAGAGTATAAGGTAACATTTTTTGTACACAAAACTATTTACGAAAATCTCGACCCGAACGACATATAAGGTTGTTTATGCGTCTACGTCCCTACTTGCAAACATCCGCAGGAGATGACTTGGGCGAGTCCACATTTTATATCCAGCCCAGCTTTACGTCCGTCTCTCGGGTAGTCCAGTTTTGTTCGATACTGATGTGCCTGGCAATTTTATTTGCACGCAAATTCGAAGGGTCGTAACATAGCCGGAACTGATGGGTCCCGGTAACGAACTCCGCACTCGTATGGTCCAACTTATGACTTTCATTTCCTTCTACTACGTTGCTGTTGCTAGATGTAGAAGCAAAAACTAGCTAAAAATGTTCTTTAGATGTGTTTCAAAATAGCTGTCTCAATGCGTCTTTATTTATGATACCGGGAATCAGTGTGAGCAGACAAAGTGCTACACTACTTTCATTAATAATACTTATTAATCCAAAATCTAACAGGGAAACCCTTTCGTTGCAAACGCACATTTCAGTCCCTTGGAATATGTTTCTGGAATCATAAAAACACTGTCATCGCGAGGGTAAAGGCATATTTTGTATTGAGTACCATCCCCGGCAAACCGTGGCCATTGAATCCGCAGAATGTACGCCCAAATGTAATAAGGAGAGGCGATAGGATTCATAGATAGGTGAACAAAGACGTGACGCCACAATGGGAGTTGCTCTCTCGGTATTGTCTATATTTTTGGTTTAAAGCATACGAGCTTTGTGTGCCTGATATACAATTTCTGTTTAGAAAATTATGTGCTTGGTTATACCTAATTTCGTTTTAGTGTTTATTCCATATAACTTTCAAACATATTGTAGCATAGTCCAGCGGGTAGATGTTGTTGGAAGTTCCAAATTTTATGTTCAACACAAGTTTTATTAATTTGCTGAAGTAATTGTGTTTGTATTCCTGGAATATAAAACATCTTTCTCATTTTATTGAAATTTATTTATCATTTTTATCATCTTTTATTAATAGTTAGGATAACACGGCGACGTAGTTAATTCTTGTTACTGAACTTGAGCCGATTATTCATTTGAACAAATGCATAATGTGGTTGCTTCAATCCAAAGTAAGGACGATTTTCCTTTACCGAGGATCACGTGACCACAGATCAAAGTCGGCGCTATATAATAGGAATCCGAATGTACATAATGCGAATTTCGTAAAGAAACAAACTTGTGTGTATTTATTTGCGTTTACGT